AGCTGAGGAAGCCATAAATGTCACCTTGTCTCTCCAGGTGCCCGTCTGGCTTCTGAAAGACAGTAGACACCTCTCTCTGAACTCTTTGTGCCACAGAACTGAGTGAGGGTCCCAGATAGCTTTTCTCTGGCTCTGTTCTAAGGAGACAGTAGCTGTACAGTGAGTCGTCTTCTAGGGATACTGCTCAGGTCATCCATGTTGGACACAGCTCAGAAAGGTGTTCTCCAGTGGTGGAAAAGCAGAACATACCTCAGGAAATTCCTGTATTTCCTGTTGCTTTGTTTGCACCAAGTGGCTTCGTCATGGTGGCTTTGGATCTCAGTGGAGAATTGGTTCTTGTTCCTTTCAGTGCAGCAGACATCCCAGGAAAGACGATGTTCAGGTGTGTCCTACACAGCCCTCTCACCAGCCCGCTTCATTCACCACCGGCAGGACACTTCAGCACTGCAGCATCTGCCTGCAGCTTTCCAGGGATGTGATACCAAGCAGCAGTGTCTCACAGACTGTCCACAACCCACTGACCTTGGCTGGAGGGCAGTGCTGTCACTTCGTTGTCATAGAGACCTTGCTCTGAAAGCAGCATCACAACCTCGTAGAGATGACAGCTCAACCCATTGCAGCAGGCTTAGCTGTAAGAAATCCAGCTGCCTCCCCTGGCAGGGATGTGGTTGGGCTTTATGAAGCGCTTGGGCAGCCTGGGTGTTCCTGGGGAATCCTGAGGGATTCCTGAGGATTAGTGCTTCCCTCATCATTCCCAAACCTCCTGCTGGAAAGGAGGAGCAGGGCAGGTAATGCTGTGGTGCTGTGCAGATTGCCCTCTTATACACTGCTGGTTTTCTGCACACCGGGAGCTTGGAGCGCTGCTGGGTTTCAGCAGCAGTTCAGCAGGCTGTTGTAACTTCTGTTCACCGGTTTTCCATTTCCACATTTGGAGGCTGTCCCAAACGCACAGCTGTCTGTGCTGTGCTCTCTGAGGGTGGAATCACTTAACTTTGAGAAGTATCTGCAAAGTGCCTGGTTTGCTGTGAGAGCTCCTGTGGCAGGTCGCTTCTGTGGCTTCTCCCATGCCAAAGGTAGCCGTGATTGTGGGGCAGGCCAAGCTTACTGCTCAGTGTGGGGAAGTCCTTGGGCATCCCACAGCCTGCCGTGCCGAGATCCGTTTGTGCCGCTCAGCGGGCGGTGTGATCTCATCCTTGCAAGGCTGTCATCTGGATCATCTGTGTAACTGTTTCCAGTTTGGGTTTCTGTGATGTTGTGCAGAGCTCACAGCCCAATGGAAATTTGAGTTTGTGTGCTTTGTGTGGTCTCAGACTCCTGCACTGAGGGCGATTTAATTGATCAGTATTTTTAGCTTGCGATACAGAAGTCCTGACCTTTCAACAAGTCTGATTGCTATTGTTCCCTTCTGGGTTTCTACAGCAGCAGAATCCGGAGGTCCTGGGCCAAATGCCCTGAAGAACAAAGTCTCTTTTGCCTGCCACCGCTAGGCACGTGCTCTCTGCCCATGCTCTTTCCTGTCAAAATGAAATATGTGTTTTTTTCTCTGCTGGATTTCTGAAGCAAAACAGCTAAAAGATCTCAAACTGTTCAACGCTGCGTCTGGGAAGAAAGATGGCCTGGCTGCTGCTCCCTGGGGCGGTGTTTCAGGAGCCACGAGTCACTGCTGAGCACAGACCACACGACAGCACTGCCAGCAGCAGCCCTGCAGGCAGGCGGAGAGCAGCGCGTTTCCTGGCTTGTACTACAAGCAAAGTGGTTGAAAGTGCCTTCTGATCCCAGAGCTGGGGTGCTTGCAAAGCCTGTCTGCTGTGTTCGTATGCCTGCCCTTCACATCCAGAGAGCTGCTTTGTTACATGCCCTTTCTGTGGAGGTGATGCTGTCCTTCAGTGCGTGCATTCCATCTGACTGCGGGTATAGGGCTGTCTTGCTGCAGCTCCTCCTGAGTCGTGCTCCCTTCTGAAAGACTTATGAGCATGAAGGAGGAATTGTACTTTGGAGTTTGTTGTGTTTTTTTTGTGTTTTTTGTTTTGACTGTTAAATGTTTTGAAATTAGGTTTGTTGCAGTGTAATGTGGTGCTTGCTCAGCTTGCAGCAGGGATGCTGGACTGTCACCTAAACAGTAATCAACAAAATCAGCCATAAGCAAAGGCAGTGGACCTGCAGGAGTCCCTTGTAGCTCTTCCCACTGCCAGCTGTGCTGCTGTATATAGCAGGTGTGGTGCCCAGGCTGGATCCTACCCTGCCCGGTGCAAGGTACATGGTATCATTAGAAGCTGTCCAGCAGCACTTGCAGGCTGGTTGTGCTCACTGAGCTCCTTGCTAAGGAAGCTGTTGTCCCTGCAAGGAGCACAGGAGGTGTCTTCGAGCTGCCAGCAATGACAGCTCTATTGGGTACAGCTTGGAACTGTGGAGCAGCCCTGCAAGAGTAACTGCTGCTCAGAGAGGGGAAAGCTTCACTCCACACCAGCAGCCTGCTGCTGTGCTCTCCGCACTGCTCCTCACATCTGCGACTTGGCACTGCTTGCTGAGTGCTATCACAGAGAGAAACAGCTTCGTACCAACACCAGCTGGAACAAACTCTCACTTCCCATGATGAAGGTTGTTCTTCCTTAGGGAAAGCAGTCCCCTAACAGAGCGAATCAAACCCTGTTCTCCTGGCCTGCACCTGGTCTGTGCTTTCATTTCCCCATGCTGCCCAGGGAAAGAGGTGGTCACCCAGTCAGGCTCAGCCCTGGCAGTGCCGCCCCAAGTTACAGGAGCTGTGCTTTGCTTTGCTTGTTGGACCTGTGAGCTGCTACCCCAGTGCTGTGGTGTGCCCAGCTTTTCCTTTTATTTCCTTCCATTGAGTGTGATTATTGAGCACTTTGCTTCCAAGCTAAGGCTGTAGCAGTTTTCTTCCTCCAAACAGAGATATTGAAAGTGCTCGACATCAGGTACTCCTCTGAAGAATTAGAGTTCAGTTATCTGCTGCATGGCTCATTAGTCTTCAAGAAGGAGGTTGGCTTCTTGTCTTCGGGAACCCAGTGATGTGGGACTGATTACTGATGACTCATTATGAATTTTCTCTGCTCATAATTGACTGTATATTTTCACAGCGGGTACACAGGTAGTCACTAGGAATCATTAGATTCCCTTTGTTGTCACGTAGGGCCCTGGGTAGATTAAGACCCTCTGCACCATTGTATGGCCACAGAAGGGGCTTGTGTGAGATTGCTGATGAGCTGTAATTAGATGTATCTTTGCAGTGACTCCATGTGCTTCTGTCACTTGGACGCTGTTGTTTTGCTTCTCTCCATCCTCCTGAAGCAGTGGATCCTTTGCATCTTGCTCTGTTCATCTGAGCTCTGTCTGACTTTTTCATCCTGGACTTTAAAAAAATCTTTCTGTCTGGCTTACATTGCTCTGCCCTAATTAAGATAAAAAGATTTTCTGGTAGCAGAAGCAAAGTTCCAGTGCCTGCCTGTTGAACACCTGCTGTTTGGTGTTGTCCTCCCATGCATTGCTGTAGCTCTACTTCCATTCTGCCAAGTGAAGAGTAGGAAGTGAAAGTTCATGTAGTGCTGCAACCCCAAGTTGGACCATGAAAACAAGTCCATGGTTAGACTGTATCAATGCATGTGAGCTTTAAAATTGTATCTCTGACGTAGATAAATGACGGACAAGTAAAACAAAAGATGACAGTGTGCATACTCTGCTGCGTTAGAATGCAGTGTGGAGCAGATAAGAGCAAACAATGCTTTGGTTCACTGATGAGTGCAGACAGTGGGGCTGAGGAGCTGCAGCAGTGAGTGTGCACAGCCCTGGCTCACTCCTGCTTTCAGGTGCAGCCCTTTAGTTTTAGGATGCTTTGTAGCTGCCCAGGCTGATGTGCTCTGCTCGTAACAGGCCAGCTGTCAGGGCTGCCAGCTGCTGTGGCCACAGTGGAGACAGCACTGCAGATGGCTGCAGTGCAGAGTGGCTGCCTGGGGGTGAGGGCATGAGGCTGATACCAGGAGGTGGAAGAACCTCGCCAAACTGACCATCAGCAATGTTCTCGGGGTACGGCACCGCTGCTCTGATTTTCTTCTTCCATAGGCACAGTATCTGGACCAGAGTCTTTGACCAGAGACTTTCACTGTCCCAGACAGAGCAGAACAGATCCATAAGCATCCTGAGATCTTTGTGTGTCTGGCTTCCCCTCCCCAGCCTGACGTGGCTAGGCCCAAGGGCTCTGACAGAGAGCTGAGCATGTGTTAGGGTTGGTACAGCTCTGCTCAGCATTTTGTTCCCTGTGGAGTCAGAGCCATGCTGGCAGCATCTCCCCAGTGTTTCCAGGGGTCCTGCAAAAGATCACTGTCCCAACTCAGAGGCACCACAGACTGCTGCAAATCTTGCTGTAGTGCTCCTCAGAGCAGTGGCAAGGAGAACAAAACTCCCTTTTTGAAGATGTCTTACTCTGATCCATCACAGGGACAGGGTTTGTGCAGGGATGGAACCAGCCCACCTGTGTGAGTGCACACAGGGACACAGGGCAGCACAGGACTGCAGCAGGGTGGGGATGTGGGAAGGGAGTGACGTGAGGGAGCAGACACCAAATAGCAGTGGGGTAACTGTGATGAAGGGGAAGGGAGCTGTTGTTGGGGTGGGGTGAACAAAAAGGATGTAGGTACAGACACAGAACCAGGCTCACTGGGCTTTGAGCTCAGTTCTGCCGGTTCATCTCATCTTGTCTGTGCTGTGACCCAGTTCTTCTAAAGGAGATTTCAGCAGGACCTGCTGTGAGGTCCTGTGGGGCTTCACTGGAGAGCAGAGCTGCCTGACTGTGAAAGAGAAATGCAGAAATGTGAGTGTGGTGCTCACCAGGGTCACTGTGAAGCAGCAGCTGTCTGTGTGCCTGAGGAATTCGACAGGGCACGTGGGATGGATGTAACAGCGTGGGGTGTGTGACTGAGCAGTGTTGTCTGGAGCACTTGCTTTTTAATTGAAGATTTCTGAAGTGGCCTTTTTTCTTCTTCCTGCAGACAACTTTAGGTACACGTGTGACATTTGTGGGAAAAAATATAAATATTATAGCTGCTTCCAAGAGCACAGAGACCTGCACGCTGTGGATGGTGAGTACTGTTTTAATGCTTAGATACCTAAGATAGAATGAGACATTGGTGCCATGTGATGAAGGCCAGATGTGGTCCTGCAGGACCTCGCAGCCCTGCCGTGTGATGTGTCGCAGCATCCCTCCCTTGCCTTTGTCAGGGGAGGCACAGTCCTCATGCTCTGCAGGGAGAAGGCTGCTGGGCTCCTTTCTCTGCGTGCATCAAAACAACACCCTCTGCTGGGACCTGTGGTCCTTGCAATCCCCCGTCTGCATTCCTGTTTGTGATTAAGATGGAAATCTTATTGCTGAGTGCTCCAAGGTAAATGGTCAGTTTGACTGCTGGCTGTGCAAGGGTTGGTTGTCTTTTGGTTTCTTACTTCACAGGTTTGTTCCTAACATGCTCCTCTGTGACAACCAGTGTTTCAGAGTTGAGAAGTACTGTTTCATTCTTGTTAATTACTGTGGTAGTGACCTGATGCTGTTCAGTCCAGTTCTTCCTGTGCAAATTTAGATGTGGTCAAGGCAGTGACACTCCAACAGAAGCAGATGCCCTCCTCCAGAAGCACTTTGTTTCGTTTTTCTATACATGATGGAGTAGAAGCAGCAACATACTGTCTTTCATTTGCCTGCCTGTGCTTGCAGGGCATTTAAAACCCCTTGACATGGAGCCCACAGCTACTGCAAACTGTCATTGCACATGCTGGCAGCCTGCTGATGCTGCTCCTCACCTGGCAGAGGAGGGAGGGAGGCTTGGCAGGAGGTTTCAGTTAGCTGGAGCATCTCAAAAAAAGCAAGTGGTTTTTTTTTTTTTACAAATAAGAGCTATCCAAAAAGTTTGCTGCCTAAATGTGCTCAAAGAGCAGCACCTGCTCTCTGCCACATACTTACTAGAATTAAATGCGTTGAGCTAAAAGTTGCTGTGAGACAGATGTGTCTGCTCCTGTCAGAGGTACCTGCAGAGCTGTGGCTCAGGGAGCTCTTGCTAGGCTTAGGAGAGGGCTTTGGACATAGTTTCTGCTTGTTTCTTGCAAAGCCAGTGTCCATTATGGCTCCACCAAGGGACCAGATGTGTGTCAGCAAACACAAGTGTGAAGCTGGAGTGCATCTGAACTTCCCATCGGACTGTGCCCATGTCAGAACAAAGGCCATGAGAATCTTTGTATTTTAGGGCTGGGCATGCTCAAATAGTTCCTGTGTGGATGCTGATGGGAAGAAGAGGGACTGGGGCACAGAGCCTGGTGTATTCAGTGGGGCTGAAACGTGCTGAAGCGGTGCGTGAGGTAGAGGAGGAAAACACGGCCATTTCAGAGGATTTAATTTCTGTTTTGTTTCTTCCCCTCCTTTTTCTATTCTGTGTTAGTTTTTAGTGTGGAAGGGGCCCCAGAAAACCGGGCAGGTAAGCTGAGATCCTTCGTGTGCTTTATTTCACAAACCTTTTCAAGCATTCAGTAGCTCAAGCACAGCAGGTCTGCCTCTACGCTTGTAAGAGTCCAGGGAGTTTTGTCACTGATTGCAGTGGGAGAAAAGCATCCTCTGTTCCTCCCTGACGTGTTCACCCCATAGGTTAATGCCCAGCCCTAGTAGATCCCAGGCTTTTGTTATAAATACAATTGATCAGGCTTCTGAAAAATCAAAGAAACAGGTATTCCATGTCTCAGGTGATTTAGTGACTTGTTCAAGGCATAAATTAAGTTATTTTATAAAGTGGGTTGGGTACTGATTTGCTTTGAACTGTGCTGTGATATGTTAGAAAGTCACTGATCAGCATCTGGTAGCTGACTTGCTGGCATTCTGTATTACTGTGCCCACTTTCAGACATTAAAACATCATTAGGTGGGAGATGCACTGGAAAAAAATCAGAAAAGGTAACTCAGCCTCTGTTTGTTCAGTGTTTCTTCAAGCAAAATCCAACGCATTATTGATCTGTAAGTCAGGATGTACTGGGCTGGAAGGGGTTTGTTGTCTGCTTGGGGCACCCGAGGTGGAGGAAGGACAAGTCAGACAGAGGGATTGTAATTCATGTTTTGAAATCTTGTTACAGATCAAAATATCATTACAGATGCAGGAGCATTGAGTGCCTGTGCAGCTGTTGAAGGAAAACCTGAGGGTGTTGTCAGCTCTCTTTCTGGTTCTGTTCTCTTGCAGACCCCTATGACCAGGCCGTCATAGCAGCAGAAGAAGTGAAGGAGGAGGAGCCAGAACCGTTCCAGAAGATTGGTCCAAGTATGAGTTATTTTAGAGCTTCACATCTGAAAGAGGAAGCACAAGGGTTTCAAATCTGGCATTAGCAAAGGTGTTGGGACCTCATGGATGGTGAAAGATACCTTTAGGTTCAAGTGAACACCAGCCATCACCAGTCCTGGCCCTGAGAAGTGCAGCTTTGTGATGTTTTGTGTTCAAGAGCTCTGTTAAGAGAAGAGGGAGGAAGTTTAAAAGAAAAGCAAAGTGGTGGTGATTAAAGGTGTTTTGGCAGAGCTGGCAGTGTTAACATGCACACTGCCTCTGTGGTGGGCTCACCAAACACATTCGAGAGAAACAAAAAAGGGACCAAATTATGTCCTCCTTATTCATCTCCATTTTGGATACAGTTGATGAACCCGGGGTTTTGCTTCAGCTTGCAGCTCACTGTCAATTCTGTACTTCCCAGCACTGGCAGGAACAGAAGGTATCTGTGTGTGGTTACCCTGCTCCATTTTGTCAAGTACCTCCAAAACACAGATTGGCACAGAAAAACTCATTGCAAGAGAAATCTATTCCAACATAAACATTCTGTAATTAAGACTTGAACTTGACAGCTCTATTTCCTGAGGAGTGTCCCTGTTGTCCATGCAGCACATACCATCTGTAAATAGAAGACAAAATTCTCTGTAGTGTAGACTTTAAAAACGGATTCTCTCTTTTGCTTTACACACTTACCTGCTGAAATTTCAGACAATCTCTTGTACCTTGTTCAGTTCTGCTGGAGTTGATCCATCACTGGATACTTGCTTCAACTGCTGCCTTTTCTGGGAAAAGAGTTTTAGGGCAATTATAGGGCAGTTAAGTTCCCAGTGCAAGAGGAAAAAGCTCTAGTGTTCTTTTTGTCACCTGGCCTAGTTTCTACGTAAAGAGACAAGAAGTCAGTGATTTTGTGAGAGGTTGCTGCACTCCTTTCTGATTTTTTTTAATGTATTTTATCTTCACAGAAACTGGCAATTATACCTGTGAATTCTGTGGCAAGCAGTACAAATACTACACTCCATACCAAGAGCACGTGGCACTGCATGCACCTATTAGTGAGTATCCTGCTGGAAATCTTTCATTACAGACTATGATATACAGAGGTTGCTGATAAAGATGAGGGCTGCCAGGAGGATGTATTAATTTTGTGGATCCTTCCACTGGACCTTGTGGGGTTGCAGCTGGCAGACTGCAGATCATGTGCTGACCAGGGCACTGCAAAGCTGGGCTGGAATCTCCTACAGGAGCCCTGTTACTGTTAGGTGTCTGATGTCACTGAGCTTTTACCAAAGCCCATGCCATTCTTCACGTGTTCCTTAGGGCTTGATACTTCATTTTGTTGCTTAACTGAAAGCTCCAGTGCCCAAAGTGTTCATTACGAAGAGACGCACGAACTTTTCTGGCCTCCCCTAAGTAATCAACACACATCCTCGTGGGGAAGCATCTTTCTTAGGAGCTTCTGAGAAACTATTGCAGACAGCAAGTTCAAACTGATTTTCAACATCATGTGAATTACCTTGGCAGCTTGCTACTAAATCACAGGCAATAAAATATTTATTTCAGGGAGCTCAGGAAAAGGCAGTTCTCAGCATACTGCGCGACACTACAGTCTGCACTCCCCAGACAAAGGGCAGGTTGTAATGAGCAAGTCAGTGTAATTCAGTGCATAAGTCTAGTAAAAATAGTTGAGAAGCTCTTCCTACGTGCTGGTTTAGGATGCTTTAAAAGTATGCAGAGAAGTTCTTTGCCCCTAAACTTTATGCTTTTTTCATAGCGTGGTGCTGCGCGGTGTTGCAGTTCATGTGCTGTGAGCCAGCATAGTTGCTCTTTTGCCCATGTTTGCCAGGCTGCCAGCTGTTTGGCTGATGATGGGGATGGATGAACTTGAGCTTGTTAGATTAAGTCAATTTTGTTAGCTGCTCATCTGCAGCCAGCAGAGGGAGTGCACACTCCTTCCTCGCCAAAATGAGTTTCAGTTGAGGTCTAAAGTAATTGTAATAAGGCAGGTTTAGTTTTAGACTTCTGTAGAAATAAATTGGGAACATAATCCACCAGACCATTACTTTGATGGTAGGTCTAGGCCTGGTGGCTCCTGACAGCACCCATGTAGGTTGTCTGAAGAATGGAGATAGACCAGCTCAATGGTGGAAGATGTGGGGCACAGAAAACCTCTGCCAGCAGTTGACCTGCTTACCTCCATGAGAGTTAACTCAGTGCTTATGTTTGTACATCCCTGCACCCTCCACTTCCACTTCCCAGGGTAGACAGTAGTCTTAACCTGGGTGTCATCAGGTGCTCAGAAAAGCTGCTGGGGTGAAGAGCAGTAGCTCAATCTCATAGAATAGATGGACCCACTGACACCAGCGTTTGGTGTCAGTGCACATGCAGACCACTCACGTGCAGACAATCAAAGAAACATGGTGGTTGTATAGCTAAGGAGCTGTGTGCTGTGAGTAGTGTATGTTGAATCTCTGTTCCACAAGAACAGATCGCTATTTTCCCAGTACATCCCATTTCAAGGGAATTTATCACTGAGGATCTCTCTCCCTCCTCCCAGCCATCTATAATAATAGGCTGCAGCTGCTGGTTCCAGTCCAGGCTATCCTATAAAAGGAAAACACAGCCATTCCTCTTTGAGAGCAATTTGCCTGAGGCAGGCTGTGCAGATCTGACTGCAGATACAAATGGTCCATGGAGGTACTTCTTCCTGTGCAGAGTGCAGTCATGGGGTCACCTGCCCAACATAAGGCTGAGGGCTTGTGCTGTGAGCTCAGTGTGTGTTATTTGGCTGCTGTAAGTCAGGTCAGTCTGAAACTGTAATTTGGGTGAAGTCAGAAAACCAGGTATTAGGAGAGCTGCTGAGTGAAAACCTGAGCTCTGAAGTATCAGGATCTTAACTGTCTAGGGGAGGGATTTGTCAAGCAGGAAGGTGTGGCTTTCCCAGTTGTCATGAGTATTGGAGGAGGTGGCACACTGTTTTGAATGCTGAGGTTGGAGCCATTCTTGGACTGTGGTTTGTGTAGTAGCCTTTGCAAAGAAGAAAAAGCCTGTCCCTACTTCAGATTAGACAATAGTCACAGAGAGAACATGTCCAGTCCTTACAGCAAGTAACTTTTACTAAGTGGTCACTTAAGAACAGATCAGGATACTACTACCACAAGGTTTAAAACCTCCTTATAAACTTTTTCCCTTTTTTTTTTACATTTTTTTTTTTCCTCTCTTAGTTGCCATGACCAGTAAGATTTATGATTTACAGTGACAAACCACTAACCCTGATGAGCATACAGGAGAGGGTGTGATTAGCTCCCAGGCAGGCTAGCCCATACATCCTCCCATCTTGCTCTTCCTGTCAGCCAAAGTCCTGTGATGTAGCTGTGAACACCTGGTTTCTGATGCAGTGCATAACTGGCTTTTCTCAGTCCCCAGCAGTCACCGGAAGTAAAGCTGAGACTCTGTCTTTACCATGGCTGTGGTATTATATGGCAAATGCTGCAAAATTAGCCTGACAGAATAAAGAATGCAATTCAGTATCACCAATCCAGCTTTTTAGGTCTCTCTGCTGGAGTACAAACTTCCCTTCCGGAGCCTGTCTTTCTGTGATGAAGGATTTAAAGTTATTGCAAAGAGGCTAAAACAAAGACTTATATCCTGCAGAGTCTATGGAGCCTTCCAGGATAATTTTTGTCATTGCTGCTCGATATCTGCTGTCTGGCAAAGCACTCTGCTATAGGGGTCACTGGAATTGTTAATGCCAAATGTCTCCTTCAGAAGTCCTCTTTTGGTAGTCAGGAGATAGTTCTAGCTTTAGGAAAAAGCCCTGAGTTGTTACTCTTTTGGAAAATTGATATTCACAGTGTTTTTATTGGCCAACAGATCTGTTCAATCTGGGAAGGGGGTCAGATGCTGTTTCCAAAAAAAATGAATTGTAGGATTGGAGGCATGTTTGTTGTCCCACATTTGAAGGTAACTGTGCTACTTCAAATGTTCTTAGATGTTGTGCTTACAGAGAAAACCTGGTGTGTTAGGGATGTGGACAGGCTGGAAAAGCCTCTGAGTTAGGTTTTATCTTCTTAAGTCCAGGATTTCCTGGTAACTGCTGTATGGCACCAGGCTCCACAGAATGAGAGCATGTGGTGAGAGCTGTGGTGTCTGCTCAGCCATCCACAGCCATTGGGATGAAAATCTGATGTGATGGCAGGTCCTCAGAGTGCTAATAAGTCTTGACGGCGCTGAGCAGCCTCACGTGAGGCCTCCGCTCACACACCAAACCCCAGTGACAGCTCAGCTATGTCAGTCTCTCTGCCTGTGCTACCCTATGGGATATCAGTCTCTTGGTTGCAGACGTGCCTCTGCCTGTCAGTGGGTCTTGTTGATCAGACCCCGACTTCCTCGCTTCACCGCACTCGTGTCACAGAATCACAGAATGGCCAGGGTTGGAAGGGACCTCAAGGATCATGAATCTCCAACCCCCTGCCACATGCAGGGCCAGCAACCTCCACGTTTAATGCTAACCCAGCCCCATTGCCCTGGACCTCCTTAAGGATTGCTGAGCTGTGTCTGACCTTGCTGATCCTCGTGAGACCAGATCTTGCCTCTGACCTGTGAATTGACCTGTCAGCTTGACCACAGGTGTGCTTCATCACCGAGAACCTTCCTGATGACCCAGGCTCCTGGCTGACCTGGCTGCCATCTCTGTGCCTGCCGGAGGCTGTGGGATGGAATCTGTCTCATGAGACCACTGCCCTGCCAGCCCTGTGGTCAGACTGAGCTTCTGAGGAGACGGTCAGACCTCCTGCATGCTGATGCCTGAGGTGCTCGTGGAAATTCATCAAGCCTGACCACTCAGTTACTTTTCTTATTGTAAAGAGCACAGGATACAATTTGTTCATCAAGAGATGTTCAAATACTTGCAGTGTTTCTTAAAGATAGGTGACATCAGGGCTTTTTCTCTTAAGGAAAGCAGTTCTTTGTGGTAGTATGTGTGGTATCCCCTCACATCCTGCCTGACCAAGAAAATAAAAAGTAGATTCCAGTTGTTTGTCTTTCCTTCCTCCATGTCATTGAGTGAAACTTGAGAGTTCAGATTTTTTTCCCACTCCAAACCTGAAGTGCCTTAATTTCTTATACAACAGAAATGTTTGTAAAAAGAAGCACATGAAGAATCTGATAGATTTCAGGACTGTTTTTTTCCCTTGGAAAGTTCCAATAGCAGAGGTTTCTGCCTAACATACAGAATTTCAGGCCATTGCTAAGGAATCCCTTTCCATCATGTCCATTAAAGAGAGATCTTTCTCTAGCAGCAGTGGTATAATGCCATCCAAACCATCTGAATGACATTTTTAGCCGTATTTCCCATCCATCCTGGCAAGATCTTTCTGAAGAAATATGGTGCACAAATCAGTGAAAACTTGTACCTGCAGTATGGTAAGCTGCTCAGAGACTCTGATAACATGTTCTGTTATGGTGATGCATTGTGGCAGTGTGGATTTGTCTGTCTTCCAGGGAGACATGTTGAAATGCCTGCTAGACTTTCTCCTTCACTGTTGCAGCATCCTCCAGACTGCTAGAGTCCTAATATTCTTTTCTCTATCTTGCCTCACCGATTCAGACTCTGTCTGTGCCGTGTGTCAGATGGAGTAGCCTTATGTAGGGTGTGAATTTGAAATGTACAGCTGGAGAGTGAAAGGACTAAAGCTGGGTCTCCTGCTGCATCACGGATTGCTGATGGATGCTACCAGGCAGTCAGTCTGTTCATTCCTGATACAAGCCACCACATCCTATCCGACGAAGATGGGAAGAGAAGGAAGTCATTTTGGAGGCTTTCATATCGCTCAGACTTCTTCCTTCAGATCTCACAAAGGGAGCAGAATCTGGGCTGCTGAGGATCTGTGAGGACTGTTTGTTCTGATGCTGGATATGTGGCTGATTGCTTCTTCTGTCAGTTGGTATAAATTGGGAGATAAATCAACAATTTGTGAGGCTGGGCCTCACTGGAAACTAGACGACGCATAAGCAGGACATTTTCATACCTGACTACATACTTGCTGGCAGTTTGACAGTAAATGGAGAAGAAATTAAGTCCAGAAAGCAAAAGCAAGCATCCTGCCTATACAGCTGGCAAGAGAACAACCAGAGAAGAAGTGTCTTGACCCAAACTATGGGAAAACCTGGTGCAGACTCTCCTGCTGAAGTACGCTAAAACACACACAGGGAATGTAACATATAAAATGAAGCAAAAAAATGTTTCCTTTGAGTATCTGTTTGCAAGTTGCTTTGACACCATGACTCTGCCATGCTGCTGACCACTGGCAGGGACAGGTGAGATTTGTAATGTCTCATGTGGTCTTGGAAACGTGTGCGGTCCCAGGCTGTGACTTCTCTCCTTACCCAGGCTGTTGTGCTGCTGTGGCAGTGCATGGCTTACAGCTGCTCAATTACTGAGTTACAGTAGAGGATTAGCAGGTGCTGGTGTTATCCATTCCAGCTGTAGGCACCCCAAATTAGCACGTGTAGAAATTGCTGCTAATGAATTTTGGCTGTGGGTAATGTGAACCCTGTTCCTTAGAGCTTCTTGGCAGATGGCTGTAGTGGCACTTGGTTTCAGGAGTCGTATTCAGAGTTGAGTGGAAAAAATCCCTGAGGAATGAAGGCAGTTGTTAGGTTGTTTCCCCATTTTTGTAATTTTTTTATTAACCCTTGGAGCCTAGAGAGAGGGCCGTCCTCCCAAAGGTTTTTTGTGTCACTTCTGGCATTAAAAATTCCCGGTGATCCTCACTGTGCATTGCAGAGACTAAAATGTAGGTCAGAGCAATTCAAAGAGCATATCCCAGTAATACTTGGGATTTCTCCATATGCCACCAGCATTTGTGTGGAGATGGGGACCAAAAGGCCTTTTTTGACTTGCAAGATGAGATCTCTGCCTCGTAATTCATTCCTTTGTATTATGTTAGACAGACAAGGAGTGTAGCTGTGAATCTGTGCTGTGAAGAATATGTGTAAGGCTCAAGGAGCAAAGGTGTAAGCTTCTCCCTGTGCAGAGCTCTGACTGGCACATGAAAAACCTGCACTTGGGGTTCAGTCTCTTCCTGATAAAGAAATGGAGCACAAAGATGCAGGTACACCCAGCCAGGCCATGGAAGTCAAGTAGGACTCCGAGGTGGATGGGGTGATTCCTACTGCAGGAAGAAGGGGTTGGTCACATAGCAGTTAAAGGTGTGGAAGGGAACTAACTCAACTTCAAGAATTGTCCCCTCCGGTGAGTAGGGAAAACAATTTTGTTACACGGGATCAGTGAATCCACAGATGCTGCAGGTCCCCATGCAAGGGATTCGTGAGCATGGCTGTTAGAAAGAACCCTCCCAGCAGGCACACGAGCTGGGAGCTGACTGACTGTCCACGCACTAGTTCTGAGTGTTCATATCCAGAGTTCTCTCGATCTCCACTCTTCGTGGCAGTGAAGACGCAGGGGAGCCAATCCAGCAAAAAAACACCGACTTCAATAAACCGATGTTCCGCCCTCCTGCACCGCACCCCTCCCGGCGTCCCACCGACGTCCCAATCCCAGATGTTCCGCGCTCCAAATTCCGGATCCCCAGGAAGCAAGGCCATCACAGGTACCAATTGCCTTTCTACCGTCCACTTTCTTAACTGCTTAGATCCAGCCCTGTCCTGGGTTGGCTTTGGACCCTTGCTGGGCTCAGTCTGCTCCACCCGTGACTGTCCCTGAAAAGTTACTCCAAGAAGCAGCTGAGGGGTTTAGATCACACAATATAAGTAAAAATTAGATCAGCAAGGTCTTTATAACCCAGTGACAAGTTTTTGTTCTTTAAAGCATCTCACTATCTACAAGGTACAGAGAACCCTGTTTCAAATCCTGGTGTCACAAACAGGAGAGCTTTCTGGCAAGGATTGGCTTTATTAGCTTGTCAGGTACAGGGATTTGGGTTGGGTCGTTTGGGATTTTTTTCAGCTTTGTTTGGCTTTTAGTTTTCATTTCTCTCAAGCTGATATTTGCAGTGTTAGGCCTGTGCCTCAGCAAGTGAGATGGAGTACAGGTGTTTTCTCAGTGCTCCGCTCCCCACAGGAACCACTGGGAGATAGGCTGGCCACCAGCAGAGATGGAACTACCGTAGAAGTGTCAGGAAACTCAAGGTAGATTCCCCTGTTCCATCCTTCCAAACAAGATCAAATGTAAAAAAGAAAATAAATAGGATACGAGACATAGCATTCACGTGTCCAGGCAGCAGGGAATTGCTCGGGTACATCTGTGGGGTCAGTTGATGAGCACTCTGTCTTAGTGCAGAAGAAGGGATGATTAATTAGCTCCTTAAAAACCCCTGAAATGTTTGGCATGGACAGATGCAGGGAGGCAGAGATGGGAGAGGCCACAAGATGCTGTACAAGGTAGTTTTTGTTTGATTACACACATCCACAGCTGCCAGATGTTGTAGTGAGCAACCTATCTTACAGCTTGTGGGTCCCAAATTTCCATACTGTTGCTGCACCTCTTAAGAATGTATTTGATTTGAGCCCTGATTTGGGGTCTGCCTGGTTCAACCAATTTAGGTGTTCAAGCTGAGGAACCGCTTTCATTTTTGTGTAAACCTGCGATGACTTCTTCCAGTCTTGTGTCTCTTTCAGAAGCAGAAAGAGCCTAACTGGGTGTTACCATGGGTCCAGATTTATCTAAGTAATAACTAAAAGGTGATTTATACACGCAGACATCTTTTTCCCCCGCTTCTCTAACCAAGAGGTATATCAGTACATTGGGTAAAAAACGAGCTGTTCTCTTCCTGTACGTGGGAAGGAATCTCACAATGCTTGAGTCTGGTACATTGATCTTCAAGAAACAAACACCTGCCTGGGGGTACGACCATATCTGTCTGGTAGTGTGTTTTCCATGATGTGTTTCAGGGCAGCTTCTTGTACACATGCAATCTGAGCGGCAGACTGGATTTCTGGTACAAATGCATTGACCACTTATCAGGAAGACAGCCTCCAGAAGGGATGCCTTCCAAGTGCAGCAGTTAAAGGCACTCCAAGTGGGCCTGGGTAGTGCCAGGGATGGAGGACTGCCATTCCACTGACGGTATATCTGCAGCCCCTTGGTGGACTGGCACTCTGCCTTTACAGAGAGTTTTGCTTCACATGCAGATAGTTCAGGTGCAGAGAGGAGAGAACTGGTATCCGCTGCCCTCTTCTGTGCAGGGGGGGATACACTAAGATGCATTAAACCCATTTTTTTTCTTACACCAGACATGGTTGGGGATGAGGACAAAATCACCGTGCAAGTTTTTTACAGTTTTGGAAACCTCCACCTCAATTTCACTTGTGACATAAGCCAGGATTTGAATCTAGGTCTCTTTAGGGGTAGGTTGGCCAAGTCCCATCTTGTCATGGTTTTGTGCTCCCACTGTGCCATCTGGTTTGCTGGTTACATATGGCCTCTCCTTTCTGTTACTTATCTGTCAAAGGGGACAGACTGGATAATGTCTCTGGTTCCTTCTCAGCCCTGTTTAATGTGACTGTTTAATTTATTTGATTACCAAGTTGCCCTATTCTGCATTTTAGAAAGAATCAGTGTCCGCTCAGCACTGGAAAAGTCCATTGAAGATTCAGGAGCCAAAATTCATGGGCAGATATTTTGCAGCCACATCAGGCAGAAAGGCTCTGTGTGAGAGCCTCGCTACAGCCCAGAGCTGCCTGGGGTTTCAGTGTGAGGGAAGCACCACAGGGCTGATGGCTCCAGCTGTCTGCAGAAATACCAAATGACACAGTTACCCCAAATCAATTGGCAGCAGCCCCTGTCAGTCTTGAATTAAGTATTTCTTTTCCCACATGCCCTCCCTGTGCAGTTGGCCCAGCAGGGCTTTGCTCAGCCACATTCAGCTGAACCTGCTGGGTGACATATGAGAAGAGTCTATGCAGCACGGGCCACACACATTAGTTTGGCAGATTCGCCATTCGTGTTGCTGATTTCCCATTGATCCTTCGAGTCACCTTCCCAGATACTGCAAACCCAGCTGAAGTGAGGCAATAATGCACGCTACTTGTATTGAAGTTGTGCTAAGGCACACTGGGCTGAGAGGAATGGCTGGCAACTGTAACCCTACATGTCACCGTGCAGTGACATTTCAGGACACTGCACCCCTGCCCATTCGAGGAATCCTTATATTGCAGTTACTGGGAGCAGCCCAGCGTTGTGTGTCAGCAGGGTGCCACAACAGGTCCTGCCTGCATGGCTTTAGCAGGGCAAGGCAGTGATGTTACTGTTGGCTGGCACAGCAGGGCAGAGGATCCACAAAAGCTTTTCCAGACTCAGGGGCAGCCCGTGGGTCCTCGCAATTTGAACATTTCAGGATGTTTAGCAAAGCTGATGACTAGGAAGTATGGGGAGAGCTGGCATGGGGGTTCAGTAGGTGACACTCTCAACATCGTGGTGAGTACCAGTGTACCATCTGCAGATCTGGACACTTATGCCAGAAGCTTTGAGGGCTGCATGTTGTCTTCAGGAAGAGTGAGATAACAATTGCTTTTTTCTGCAGGCAGGAAAGCCATGACGTTCCTGGTTCAGCTAGGACTGGTTTTGTAGGCTCCTTAACAGCCACTGCAGGCCACCTCAGCCACAAGGCAATGAAAGAAACCATCTTATCTGTTATCTCTTCAGTGAATCTAGCCCATTTTCATCCAAAATGAGATGATACTGGACTTTTTGGCTATATTCAGGGAATGCAGTTATGTGGCACAGGGGGAATGTTGTGTGCCTCCTTTCTGTGTAGTCCTGTGTCCAGTGTTGGTCAGTCACCATCCCTGCTTTGTTCTCCACCCAGCAGAAAGTGCTTTCAGCAGGAGAGTGGAAGGCAAAGCGCAGAACAACTTTGAAGAAACAAACAGCAACTCGCAGAACTCCAGCGGTAAGTGTGCTCACTGCCTCCTGCCATGGTTTCCCACATCCCTCTCCAGAACAGGAATCAGCTGCAATCGGTGATCATGTATGTGGGGCAACTACTTTAAGCTTGCAAACAGCTGTCCTTCCTGGGGTATCGTCCTCTTGTCGCTCCTCTCCAGATTCATGATGATATGGAGATTCTGCTCCCAGGTAGAGTACTAAAGTACCTGGGTGGTTTTTTCAGTGGGGATCAAAGAGGTAGAAAAGGGGAATGTGGATGAAGATAAAGGAGTATTCATTCTTTGTGCATCAGAGAAGTATTTGTGAAGTAAATCCGTTTGCAACAAACAAGAGAGCTCTGAGGACCATCAGTAGAACAGCGGTTTGCGTATTACAGTGATGCTAACTGTGACACTATATTTACACATCAGTGTAATTTGTGTCCAGCTGTTTGTGAGTTTGCTATACGGACGTCACAAGAGATGTTGAGATGTGGGAGCAGAATTTACCCCATTTCTACAACTCTCTTTGAATTTTAAGACCAAGTAGTGGTAGCTAAACATAACCACTGGCCTGGACAATCTCTAAGACAACACCATTTCTAGTCTTTACAAGATTTTCGTACTGTCTGTGTATTCCTTTGACCTCAACTGGAACACTGCCTCTCCCACACGCTCCCTAAATGGAGCTTAACAGACAGACCAGAAGTAATATAATTTCAGCATCTTGATGCAGAGATAAATAAATTGCCATTAGAAAAGTCTGGCCTCCTTCCATTCCCCATGCAAGGGCACCAAAACACGTGGTGTACACAGTGCTGCTGCCTGCAATGGACAGGTAAGGGATTTCTCCTTGGGGTGTGTTGCACCGTGTCTGCCGTGGGGGTTTATGTCTGCTCTCAACCAAATGAGGGGGCTCTACAACTGCATAAAAAGGGAGCAGAGGGGTGTTGGGTAACCTGCTATTGTTGCAGAGTGGGTGATATTGAACGGGCAAAAAAATTGCTTCTGAAATATTGAGTGTTGTTTTGGGAACCATCCTGTACTAACCCAAGCCTTCACCACAATTACAGCTGTTCATTCGGGGACAGAAAAACCTAAAGAAAAGAGATGTAAGCAGAACCCATCAGGTGAGCTCGTCTCTGTGTTTCAGGTACTTGTACTTTCCAGCCCTATCCCACTTGGGAAGCAGCAGTCAGGAGAGCTTGGCTTGCCAGGTCTGTGTGCAGTCAGCCAGGGCAGGCTGTTAGATGTGACAGAAGGCAGATGTAGTTCAATGACTGTCAGGAGTTGTTAGCCTGACTTGCTGCTCTGAAAGTGGCCGCTTGCCTCAGCAAGCCTGCTCCCCCATGCCGTGTCTTGTGTAGGCAATATGAGTGCTTTGTTTGGAGGGTTTCAAAGCCTTTACGTGCACATCTTTAAAAGCCAGTGTGCTTTTTGGGCTTCTCACTTCTGTGGAGCCCTCTGAAAACAGCAGCCTTTGTTTTTTTCCTGTCAAGTAGAGTCTGTGTCATTACTGAAGAAGGAAAGAGTTACCTTCCTTCCTATCAAATAACTTGTACCTGAATTCAAGAAGGGTGTATTGTAAAACCTCCTGTCTGCAGACGAGCTCATGATAAGATGTTCAAGAGGAGAAAAAAACTTATAGCATGGGAAGAGGTCCAGGAACTGCTGACAAGAAGTACGCACAAAACTACTGAATGGCTGCACTGAATTGCTGAAGAATTCAGTTCTGCCTGAACCGATATCAAATACTGACCCACTGTTGCTATGACATCTCACAGACTCTCCTCGCCATCTCCTTGTACCACCATGCTCATCCTTCTGAATCTGTTTACTGCAACTCTTAGTGGGAAAAAAAAACAACAAAGGCTTGAAATTCTTAAAAGTTGTGCGGTTGATTTAATACGATTTGCTCATCTTCTTTCATTGTAAGAATTGTTTCTGCCTGCACCACAGGTATGGTCAGTTTATTTTGGTGGCTCAGTGAGAGAGCTGCTTAGGACTGGTTTGAGGAGATTTGAGCTCTGTTTGGAAGCACTTCTTTTCTGATTTAGATAGCTGACATGCTTCCTACAAGCAGACTGGTGCATGGCGATGTATAAACTTCCCTTTCCCTCCTTCCTATGTCTTTCCCACATCTTCTTCCCTTGCCCTGCTTTTCCCTGTGATTCCATCTTTGTGCTCTGTCCTTTGTGTCTCATTCTCTTTTCCAGCTCTTCCACCAAACCGTCTCCTCTCTTTTATTTCTTGTGTTCTCAGGAGTTAATCTGAATGTTCTCACTGCTGCTACGCACTGGTGAATGGAGGCTGTGGAAAGCTCTGTGGACATATATGTGCTTGGGTGTCCAAGCAGAGCTCTCCATAACTTTGTTTTTGAAGAGCTGTCATTATATCCCCATTTGCTTCTTTCCATGGCTGTGTTTCGGTGGCTGGAACAAATCCCATGTGGCTCAGTGTTCATGTGTATGATGGGAACTGTTGGAATAGCTCTGGCAAGGTTGACTTGTCTTCTCTTATGCTCCAGCCAGCAGATTTCACACAGGCAGAGTAGCAGCTGGAGATAATGTGCAGAGAATGACAGGATGGACCCTCCTCTCTCCTTCCATCTGCTGCTTATCACTAGCTCTGCTGCTACAAAGAACAATCCCCAGGTTTGGGAGGTGAATCCATGTCCCAGTTGAGCAGCCCATGAGCTGCATGGTTTGGCCTGTTAAACGCTTGATTCTCTGTAACATTTGCTTGTTGTGGATGTTAATTTTGTGGTATGTTACCAGAGAAGGTGAGCAGGGTCTTCTGTGGTCACTGAACCAAATTATGCTGTGTCACCATCCCAGCTGCAGTACCACACGTCTAGGAGAGAAAAAGACAGTGATGGGGAGGACAAGCAGAGCAGAGTCAGCAGCTAACACTACTTAACATAGACTTGGAAGCAATGCTTTGGAGAGCAGTAAGTGGGAGTAAGGCAGCTAAAATGGAAAGTGTTGAAATCAAGATGTCTCTTCCCTGGACACAGCCCCACTCCTTGTCATAGGGAATTCAGGTACTGGTGTCCTTATCTAGAAACCTGGCATCTTACTGCCCATAAAAAAGCAGCAGGACCAGATCTGCTTGGCAAAGCCAAACTTTGAGGCTGCATGTGAGCCTGTTAACATAGAAGGGGACCTTTTCCTATCAGGGTATGGTGATGCCACAGGGTGAATAGAGGACTGTTCATCTGCTGCCCACCTCCTGCAAGGGAGGGTTGGAAAGAGGCTGTACAGCTTCTTGATTTTTGGTGAAATCTGGGAGTTCTGAAGTGCTTTGAAAGTGCTGTCTGCTGAAATGTGTTTCCTTGGGCTGCCTCCGCAGTGGTCTCCAGTCACACTGAGCTTGTTGTTACTGCTGAACTAGGCAAGGTCCAGAAGCAATGGCGTGGCCTAATTGTGAAAGGTGGAACTGGCTTGTTGCAGTGTTGTTAATCATCCAAGGCAGTGCAGGGTCGCTTTCACGAAAACACTCCTTGGTGGAGTGTCATTTTGCTGAGTCTTGACGTACGCAGGGCTTTTCTGTACTAAATTCTCGAGGCAAAAAAAAATATTTGAAGGCCATCTTTTGTGAAATATTCCAGTGATTGTCATCCTGAGTCTGGTATGGAAACAAGCCCCAGAAAAGGATGAACGTGCGTGTCATGCTCAGTAAGCAAGGCTGCTGCCTTCCTCTCTCCCCTCTCCTAGCAGAGCAGCAGAGCATTTGGCTGCAGCTGTGCAGCCTGCATCAGCAGAGGCACGGAGTAACCATGGGTGTGTTATGGCCCAGACTTCTGGGTCCGTGTGTCTCACTTCTTGTCTGGCTTCAGAAAGCCTCAAGGGCAATGATTTGAGGTTTACAGCACAATCCAGCTTTAAACCACTGACTTGGACTTTATAGACAATTGTATGGTAAAATAAGAATTTGCATGGTAAAACAAGAATTTGTGGTACACCACCTTTAAGCTAAGAAGGCTGAATGAAACTGCAAGGCATCAAGAAGAAACGAAAAAAAAATGAGGCAAAAAGGAGAAAGTTCTTTAGTTCAGATAACTTAAAATACAGCCTTTGGAAGAAATAAAAATTACTGGAAAATGACAGCATTTGTTGATATCTAAACCTGCTAAACAAGATTTTTAGGGTATGTTCAATGAGGAAATCGAACAGAAGTAGTGTGGTAGAGAGGAAGGGTGTCTCTCCAGCTTAGCAGCTGTAGTTTAATGGAAAGTAGCAAAAATGCTCAGTGTAAATGAGCTTTAAACTCACAATCCAAATCTCTTCTGAAGGTTTGTTTGGTGGTGATGGGATCCCACGTGATGTCGGCTCGGTTTCTCTCTCGTTGGCCATACATCCTTTTCTGTTCTTGATAGCGCTGCCATCCCATCACCATCTAGTTGTGTTTCCTTCGGTTGTGTCTGTGCTGAGGAGTCCATGCCAGCCCCGCAGCCCTGGGTTTCTGTCCCATGCTGTGGGACAGCCCTGAGTGTGGTGGCAGGGCCACAGTTGCACTGGACACTTCTTTCTCCATTTGCAAATCTGAGAAAGAAATGGGAGTTTTATGGAGAACATGGGAGTTCATATTGGAAGAGAAGTCAAAGTAATACCAATACAGGGATTCCCTTCTTAGAGCATATTTGGTAGCACCTCTTTATGTAGCTCGTCTTTCGCTGTCAGAAGTGGGTGGTGGTGACAGAAGTTGCTTTGGAGAAATTCCCATCTGTTGTTGTGTGTGATGGCATTTCCCTAGGAGATTACTGCCTTTTGCATCGGTCTGTGACCAGTGTGTGCAAGGATGTGGCTCTGCTCTTCTCTCTGGCTTAGAAGTGGTATTGAGAGCATGGGAAACAGAGCTTTGTTTTAACTGAGCACAAATGGTGCTGTTGCTTTCTCTTGGCCTGCAGGGCCTACTGTCTTGCTCCAGACCCCTGTTCACTGGAGATACATATTTAAAGCAGTAATAAACACACCTAATGATAGCCCTGGGGAGAGATGTTTGAAGCTGAACAGCCAGCACTGACCATTCCATGTAGCTAAAGAGGCTGAGGAGATTTCAGCAGCTGCTGGTGCTTTGGGGTTTCTGCAAAACTATTTGCAGGCAGCACCAGCTGTGCCACGTGATGTACCAGTGTGATGGAGCTCCTCATCCGGAGGTGGGGAGGAGAATGCCAGCAGCCTGGCATCACTTCTCCTCGGCCCTCTGGAGAAGTGTGAGAGTGCTGTGCTGCATACCAGGAGTCGAGGATTGCGTGATGCTTTTGGTTCATTGGTCAGTGCAAAGTTTATTGCAGGATGCGCTGGTGGCAGTCAGTAGCTTGGAGACCTGCGAGTACTCCAGCACATCAGGCTGTGGGGTGGTATGCTCTGGCGTAGCAGTACGTGTCCCCAAGCTCTCCTTACATTCAGCAGCACTTTTTTGCCTGTACCCAGCTCCTGTACCCCCAGGGGGCTCTGGGAGCTGTGATAGAGCTGTGAGCTGGAGCTGCAGGCATCAGGACCAGCAGGCAGTGTGTGTGCCAGCAGCTGCTCAGCAGTGCCAGCAGAGGAGGCTGGAGGGAGAAGAGCCCATGCCAAGGGATGTCCCTGCCTGATGTCACTCCAAAAGCCACCTGGATGAGGTCCTGCACAGCCTTCTGTCATTGGCCCTGCCTGAGCAGAGAGTTTGAACCAGATGGACTCCAGAGGTCTCCTTTCCAACCTCTGCTGTGCTGTGGTTCTCATCAGAAGGGGCTCCTGTTGCTCCTACCATGACTCCTGGGCCCCTCAGCTACAGAATAGCAGGAGTTGGTTCCTGAGAAGCAACAAAGGGCTCAGGGAGACCAGAGATGTTTCCAGCAGTGTGGTTTGGGCTTCCTGGGCTGTCCTGCTGTGGATTGGAGGTCTCCGAGCCCTTTCTCAGCTAACTGCATGGCTATTCCTTGTTTATACACAAGGCTGTTTTGGCCACCCAGCATGATCTGGGCTGCTGGGGAGCATAGATGTTCCCTGGGCCTTAAAGCAACAGCACAGAGGGGTCAGAGCTTTCACTGTACCACTACTGACCAAGCTGAGAGAGAAGAGATTCACTTGTGGGAGCAGACTGGGCATGGACTGCTCCCATAGGGGGACCTGTGGGTCCCCTGTTCAGCTTAGAGCACCAGTGGGGGACAGATCCCAGCCAGGTGCTGGAAACCTCAGTGTGAGCAGGGATGGTTTCTGCCTGCTTTCAGACACAAACTGTCCCTTTCTACTCCCCACCTTCCAGCACCAAGGCAGCCCACTGCCAGCTCTGATTGCTCCCTGTGCTGTGAGCAGGCGTTTGCAAGCTGACATCTCAAAAGGGCAGGGATCAGGAAAGCCCTGGGTTCATTACCGTGTGAATGCTGAGCATCCCTCCCTCCATCCTGGGAAGAACTTCTGATTTGTGTGATGAATTTATATTTTATCTCCTGTTCTAACATTACATTTCTTTGTCTGTGGCAAACTGTGTACTCCAATGAATCTTTGTCGTAGAAAATGTTTCAGCATTTTGAGAACAGCAAATGAGTTTTCAAAAGCAGGCAATGGCTTTGTTACCAGAGCTGGCTGTTTCTGTAGGAGGAGGCTTTTGGAAATAAGATCAAAAGCATGATTCCAGGAATCAAAATGAGAGACCTTTTGGAGTGCACTAAGGGTACAGTGTGTTGTAGTCCTCTAGTCCACTCAGCTGCCACGTTTCTCCCTTTTCTTCAAAAGCAGTTTCTGAAGGAGGAAGGTATGGCTCACTGCAGCAAAACCCAGCAGCAGCAGCACCGGAAAATGCAGGAAGTTAAATAAAGCATTGAGCACAACTTGACAGCTGGGGCTGTTCCTTCATTTCAGGAGCTGTGTGTTCTGGGGGGAAGGCATGGCAGTGTGTAACATTACAGCATATAAGTGCAGCTTGTATTGTGCTTCCTTTTGTGTTTTCCCTCTCAGCCCTCTGTTGCCATCTGATAAACTCAGTGTTCTGCTACCTGAGATAGGCATCTCACAGACAGAGCCCAGGCAGGCTTGTGCTTTCCAGTATTCTGGCTCTTCCACTCGGGATGCCAGTGCTTATACTTACATGCAGTAGATTTTGTTTCATTGATACAAACATGTTTTTCCTTTCAGAAGTTGATACAGTCTTATGGTATATTGTCATAGACTCTGTATGCGAAGATGCTCATGTGCTGAACGCTGCTTTGTCCACTCACCTGTTCCAAAATAGATTGGTGGCAGTGTGCTGATTTATCCAGAGGTTTCTAACAGGCTTCAGTGCTAACATAGCTCAGCTCCATGGTTTGGTGTTACATTTGTCAACTAACGCACTCAGCTAATCACTATTTAAACCAAGCAACTGCGAACATGTGCTGCTAGGTTAATTCAGCTGAAGAAATGCCTTTTCGCCACACTTGTTAGAACAGAACTAACCGTATCTCTCAGCACATGATGGAGCTCTGCCCCCAGCTCTCCCCTGGCTCCAGCTCCTGCCCACAGCTCTGGAATGCGGCTCTGCTCTGCTCTGCCTGCACAGCTCTGGGTTCTGCTCTTCCTGCCCCCGGCTCCGCTCACCCCACCTTTGTGCAGCCTGCCAGCACTCGCTGTGCCCCAATCTCACTGCGCTTCTCAGCAGCCACCAAAAAGAAAAGAAGCCACATCCTAGGTGGCAATTCTCTGTTCCAACTTCCTGAGCTACAAGATTCTTACATCCCAGTGCTCCTTGCCTTACTTAGGGAAGACAGCAGAGCCTGGTATTGCACATAAACAGATGTAGAATGCACTCACTGTGCTCTGAGGCTTAAAAAGAGCAAGGATGAGCTCCTGCAGATGTGAGCTAGCGAGGCCCAGTTGGAGCACAGCTTCTCAGGGCTTTGTGCGTCCCGACACTTACGTGCCCAGCCCTGGAGAGCCCTGTGGCCATGCCCCAGCCCTCTGGAGCTGCTGTGACAAACACACAGCTGCAGTGATACTCATCTCAGGCTGTCCCACTGCTGCACAGACTGAAGTACACACGGGTGCTGCTTCCCCACATACTCTGTGTAATTCTTCTGAACTGATTTTTCCCAAACAGAGCCTTACACCTGTGGAGCTTGTGGAATCCAGTTCCAGTTTTATAACAATCTCCTGGAGCACATGCAGTCCCATGCAGGTAAGCTGGGCACCTCAACTCGCTTAAAGCAGAGAATGACATTCTGCTCTGATGCCTGGTGTTGGCCCTGCTGTATGTCAGTGGAGCTTCATAGCATCATAGAATGTGAGCTTCCCATGCTCACAGTTTCCAAAGCCCCAGGAGCGTCACCTTCAGCAAAAAGATCCTGACAGGCTGAAACAGCAGTTGCAGCAGTGTGAGGTGTGTGTGCTCCCTTCCCTAGGAAGAGAGGAATTCTGCCATTCCAGCACATCCCACAGCTCTTCCCTTTGCTCAGAGACACTGGGGGAATGCTGCTTTATAAGCACTGCTCCCACAGCAGAGGAAACCTCTCCTCCCACAAGCAGGGCAGTTCTCATTCAGGCAAAGCAGAATGCTCTCAGGGCAGCAGAGCCTTGGCCCACGCGAGTCCCTTTCTCTGCTTATGCCTCCTGCAGTTCTGCAAAGGGCTGAGATGTGCTCTCAGAAGTGTTTGTCATTTCAGCAGTTGTGTTTATTTCCTTCTCTACAAAAGAGAATTCTGAGGAGTAGTAATTCTCCTACTTTATTTCTAAGCCACCTTTTTTGTTTCTATCTCAGTACATAAAAGAAGATTTTAGCATTTCAAAGCCAAAGCTGTATCAGACAGCATTCAGAATATTCAAAAACATAGAAAAAAGGATATTTTTGATATACACAGACTTTTTTCTCTATCTTGATTGAAAATTGAAGTGAATTATGCAGGTTTACAAAGAAATTCACCTCTGGCAGACCTGTGCTCTCCAACAGAGCTGCTCTGTTGCAGTGCACATTCAGTGCTTCATTTGTGCTCACATTGCAGGTAAGCCCTGAGCAATGGCAGGGTAGGATAGGTTGCTCAAGGAAAAGTGTGTATTCCATTCTGTACCAGCAATCTTAATCAAAGCTCTTATTTTGTTGTATTTTAGTTTTAGTCTTCATTTTAATGGCACTGTTCCCGGGGTTCTCCCTATGTGCAGTTCCTCAGGTTCTGCTCCTTTGGCAAATCATAGTGCAGGCTCTGTGTGTTATTCAGCAGCTGCTTTATTTACTACCTTTGCAATGCTACAGGTAGGCTTTCAGGGTGGTTTGTTGTAAGACAGCAGAAGCTGAGCTTTTTGGATGTTGCTTTCTATTAGAGGATGAACTGAGTGGTGTGCAGTGCCTAGGCATTGTGCTGCTGAGCAGCAGTGCTGTGCTCAGGGCTGGTGCTGCTCTGTGGTGCTGGGGTCTGTTCTTGCCCTTCATCAATGGTGATTCCTGCTTGCCTCCTGTGCCCTGGCTGTCCTCCTTGTTCTGGTCCCTGCTGAATTATGTGTTAAGTGACACTGAGGAGCTGCAAAGCACGGGCTGAGCTTGGTTATGAGGGTGAGAAGGGCAATCTACTGGCAAGCAGGGAGCTTCCAGAATGTTGAGCTAAGCTGTCTGCAGCTTCTTCCTCCTCACTTCCTTACAGATGATCAGTGGATCACCTGGGTTGCAAAGGGATCAGGTGTCTGTGATCTGAGTCCCACACAGTGTTACCTATACCAGTGGGTAACCCCCTCTCTCCAGCTCAGTGTTACTGCCATTAAGCTTCATTTTCCCCCCTTTTCTCTGTCTTTTTGTAAGACGTTGTTCTGCTTGTTTGCTTCCCCCAAACATTCCTCACTTACTGAAGCACTTTCTCCATACTGTGCCCTGGGAAGCAGCCATCCCTGTGCAGTGCAGTGTGTGCTTGTGCCTTGTCCTCGTGGGGAAGCAGCAGCCTTTCCTGCAGCTCTGTGTGTCTGTACCATTGGGTGTTTGCTACTGTGGGAGAGGGCAAAATAAAGTGAACAAAGTGAGAGCTGCAGCCAGCTTTGGTGGCTGTCTGGTTCTGGAAACTGAATTCAAGCAGAGCAGCAGTGAAGGCGACACAGTGGAGTTATTGGTCGCAGTTTTGTTGCCTTGTGGTCTGTTAGAACTTGGAGATTGGCAAATCCAAGAAGCACATCAGCACAACATCTCTGCAACCTGGGGAGGCAGAAACCTTACTGGTTAGCAGAACTGGTGGCATAGGATCCCCTTACTGGGAACACTGGCATAGTAACCATTTGTATGCCTGTGTTCATGATATATTTCATGATGGGTTTGGAGATCCAGTGAGCCCATAGGTGTCAAATGCTCCCTCAACTGAAGTGTTTGGGTCCTGCTTGTCTTCCTGTGTCTGATCTGAAGGGCTCATCTCCTCCAGCTGAATGCAGCATGTCCACTGAGCCCCTATTGCAACTGGTCAAAGGACAGGGAATGTGTTGCTGGCTGTGAGGAGCCAGTGCAGGGACCTGTTGGCTCCTGAGTCATTCAGAGAGCTGAGCCTGGAGGCTAAAAGGTAATAAGGAGAGATTATAGCTCCATAAAGCAGCTACACAATGAAAAGAGGGAATTAGAATGCAAATTGGAGGCTGAAAGGCAGAAGTAGAACAGTAGAACATCAGGAGAAGGAATTTGTTCTGTAATTACTGTACAATATACAGCTTTAACTCCCTTTAGGGTACTTTGTTCAGGTTGAGTGCTACGGTATAATGCCCCTCCTACTGTCTAGAGCTAAAAGAATAAAAAGACAACTAGGCAGAATCTGGATTAAAGGATTGGAGGCGTGAAGAAACATTAAAGACCCATGATCTGTGTAGTTCACTGACTGCCCGATAAGGAAGCCGAGACCAAAATGTACAAATCTCATTAATGCCACACTGAATGCCAGTGGATATTTACTCATCAAAAACCCGTTATTACTGCAAAATAGATAAAGAGTTGGGGAGAATAAATTCAGAGGTTTTCTCCCCCCCCCTCAAGCCCAAGGTAAAGAAACCTTCATGTTGGTACCTGAACAGTGAACAAAGTTAATAGCCGGCATTCCTCATTTTCCTTTGTCTACCCCTCAATGCGTGGAGTTGCAGCCACTTGTGATATTGGGTCAGGAGCCATCAGGGTCAGCAAACACTGCAGGAAGAGCAGTGTGTTGTACCTGATTGCTGGCATTCACCTCCTGCTCACTGTGTCTCTACCACACATGCGAAGACCACCTGTGGCTGCAGTGCTGAGCTCAGTGATGCTCCCCAGCAGCATTCCCAGCAGCTGCCACAGCACCCTGTGTGTCCTGGGCACGTGCATTCCTTGGGACAGCCCCGCGTTCTGCCCTGGTTGGGCTCTGGTTCTGCCGTGCTCTGGATTGCTGTTAGGTCTGTTCAGGGCTCGTAATAACTGACCATCAGCAAGGTTTGTGCATGCCTCAGTGACTGTCATGCAGAGCTGCTCAGATTTGACAGGACTGGCTTGCAAAGAAGAGGGCAGTGAAGTTTCACTGTCTGATTGCTGGTCTCAAGATTCTTGCCAGACTCCCTTCTCTGCTGGCCCATTGCCACACATAAGAGAGCACCTTGGCTCTCTCCTGCTCGTTCTGTTGGACAGCAGGTGAACCTGGTGGCAGAGCAAAGCCCACATCCCTGTGCGTGCCGTAATAAAGCATCCTTCTAATTCATATGCTGCTGTCTGGAGCACTGAGGCAGGCTTCAGTTCAGTGCATTCTGGTTTATGTAGATGGCAGGTGTTGCCATCTGAGCTGGTCTTCTTGAGTTTGCTTTAAAATCAGTGGAGAAGTCATTGGCTCCAGGTGAGTTCAGAGCTGTTGGATCTCCTCCTGCAGGAGGAACCTTGTTCTGAGGGAATGAATCACGCTATTAGCCTGTGTCACACTATTGAGAGTAAAAAAAGCTTCAAAGGGGTCACCTTGAGTAGAAGCATTGTAACAGAGATGTGCAAAATTAGACAAGGTGCGTCAGCTGTGATAAATAAAGCATCGGTTTTGGCTTCTTTGTTCTTTTAATTCCATCTTTCTGTTCAGCTTGGTCATCAGTGTCTCCACCTTCCTCCTTCCTTTTCCACCTCTTTTCATTATGCACTTCAGTGTAGCATCAGAGGCTGTTTCAGAGCACAACTTCATAGTGAAGCATACTAACAACAGGACGACTCCTTGGGGAGGGCAGTTCTTGGTGCACAGGAAAGGACATGGATATGATGTGGAACTTAATGATCTTGTCTGCATTTCCTGGAAGAATCTCTTCAAACTGGCAGTCAAATTGTTTAGCCAGCCATATAAGAAAATGGGAATGTAACACACAGACCCCCAGGAGATCGTCTCTGCAGCCATGGGAAGGCATGATCACACTCCACAAACTTTTTATTCCTTTTTGTTTCCAGTCTCAGGCAGCAGTGAGCAGCCCAAGAGAGTTTGGCATCTCTCTACAGTGGGAAAACAAGCATCTGTGACTATTATAGTAAGATCATTAGATACAAAGGGATTGAACATAGCTTAAGAAACAAAGTAGTTCAGTAGAGAAAGGGGAAGCTCTGGATCTGCAGAAAGACAGACAATAGGATGGAAAGGTAAATGTCTGCTAATCCTGCTTTCATTTGAAAGAAGCATATTGCACAGGTCGGGCTGCACAAGGAACATCTATTCTTTCTGATGTGCAGCTTGATTGAGAGACAGTTCTAAAGTTGTGCTGGTGCACGGGAAAAACTATTGTCATTACAGCCACAGATGGAAGCTGATGGAGTTCAAGTCCAAAGTTTTCAAGGTTACTGACAGTACTGTGCCATCTCTGAAAAACACTTACTGGCTACAGACAAATAGTAGATTGGTGTCACCTTAGTGAGGGACCCAGCAGATGGGTATTGTTTCCCCTTTGTGTTTTAAGCATCAGTACCTTGTACTTCTAATGCCTCCCTGTTTCTCATTCCACAGCTGACAACGAGAACAATATTGCCTCTAGCCAGCCCAGATCACCTCTACCTGTTGTTGAAGAGAAGTGGAAACCGCAGCTCCAAAGAAATAACGCTAACAACAGTACGTAGCAGTGTTTGCTCTTCCATCCTGGGCTTACCTGTCAGCTTTAAGAGTGGCTGTCAGGTGTGCAGCAGTGACTTGGACACGCACAAGGCTCTTGTTTTCCCTGCCTGCACTTGATTTCATCTGCAATTCATGTACCGCCCTGCAGAGCAGAGACTGCTCCCATTAGAAGAGCAGTAGTGTGCAGAAAGTATTGGGAACTCCAGGGAGGCTGTTTGTAGGAGAGGTGCACTTGAGAAAAAAATGTGTCTGATCCTTGGTCAGACTTCCCATCCGGTGTTAAGAGATTGCTTCATTTCACCTGGTATGCCATAGGCATAGCCTGCCTCTCCCTGCCAGTGTCTGTCTTTGTCCCCAGCTTGTCCTGCAAGGTTGCACTTCTTGGGAAATGGTAAAAGACAGTTTTGTGGGAAAGCATCCTCAGCACTTGAGCTAAGCATCCTAGGGGAAGGGTGATGGGAAAACACGGAGCCTTTGTGTTCTGCTGTGGCCAGAAATGACACTAATGTTGTCCAAAATGAGCCACAGAAGATGGGAGTTGCTGGAGACGAGGGGAAAAAAACTTCAGCGCTTTATGAGTTAGTGAAGGAGGTTGTATGCCTTGGTCCTAAAACAAGTGGCTCAAAGAAAAGATTTAAATCACAAAAATGGTAAGAAAGCCATCTTTCCAGCTGGACCAAGGCAAATAAGCAGAGCTGTTAACAGAAACGTGTAGCACATTGCATGCAGGATTGTGATAGCTAAATGAACGTCACAGAGGTGGAATTCAGGCATTCGGGATTTGGTTGTGAATAGCTGTTGTGGAAGGTGTGCATATAAGCTCTTAGCTGCTCTAAGCAAGCTGCTGCATGTTCTCTGCAGGTCCAGAAGACCTTTGGGGACCTTTTATGTCAGTCTCAGGATTGTTTATTGACCCCCGCACTGTTGCAGAGGAGCAGCTCTCACCCGATGCTTTCTTTCTCTCCTTGCATTTCACTGCAGCCTCTGCGAGCGGCTCCGTAGGGAACAGCGCGATCCCAGAGAAGGAGCGGCAGAACATTGCTGAGAGGCTCCTGAGGGTGATGTGCACTGACCTCGGGGCGCTGAGCGTGGTGAGCGGGAAGGAGTTCATCAAGCTAGCACAGACCCTGGTGGATAGCGGGGCTCGCTACGGTGCCTTCTCCGTCACCGAAATCCTTGGTAATTTCAACACACTGGCTCTGAAGCATTTGCCTCGGATGTACAACCAAGTGAAGGTGAAAGTCACCTGCGCCCTGGGCAGCAACGCCTGTCTGGGCATCGGGGTCACTTGTCACTCGCAGAGCATTGGTCCCGATTCTTGCTACATCCTCACAGCTTATCAGGTGGAAGGCAACCACATCAAGAGTTATGTCCTGGGAATTAAGGGTGTAGATATTCGAGATAATGGTGATTTTATCCACCACTGGGTACAGAACGTGCTCTCAGAGTTTGTGATGTCAGAGATCAGGACGGTGTACGTCACAGACTGCAAAGTCAATTCCTCTGCGTTCTCCAAGGCTGGCATGTGCTTGCGTTGTTCGGCCTGTGCCTTGAACTCAGTAGTGCAGAGCGTGCTGAATAAGCGAACTCTACAGGCTCGCAATATGCACGAAGTGATCGAGCTCCTGAATGTCTGTGAAGATCTGGCGGGATCCACAGGCCTCTCAAAGGAGACCTTTGGCTCCCTGGAGGAGACTTCTCCCCCGCCCTGCTGGAACTCGGTCACCGACTCCCTCCTACTCGTGCACGAGCGCTATGAGCAGATCTGCGAGTTCTACAGCAGGGCCAAGAAGATGAACCTCATCCAAAACCTGAACAAGCACCTGCTCAGCAATCTGGCGGCTATTTTGGCACCAGTGAAGCAGGCTGTGATTGAGTTGAGCAACGAGAGCCGGCCCACCTTGCAGCTGGTACTGCCCACCTACGTCAAACTGGAGAAACTGTTCACTTCCAAAGCTAACGATGCTGGCGTGGTCAGCAAACTCTGCCACCTCTTCTTGGAGGCGCTGAAGGAGAACTTCAAGGTTCATTCGGCGCACAAGGTAGCCATGATCTTAGACCCCCAGCAGAAGCTGCGGCCTGTCCCGCCGTACCAGCACGAAGAGATCATTGGCAAGGTCTGTGAGTTGATTAACGAGGTGAAAGAGTCCTGGGCAGAAGAAACAGAATTTGAACCTTCGACCAAGAAGGCCCGGGCAGCAGGGGAAGCCGCAGCAGCTCAGGAAGAAGATTGGTTCGGGAAAAATGAAGTCTATGATTATTTGCAAGAACCTCTCTTCCAGGCCACTCCTGACCTCTTTCAGTACTGGTCGTGTGTTACCCAAAAGCATACAAAACTAGCCAAGCTAGCCTTTTGGCTCTTAGCAGTGCCTGCTGTTGGTGCCAGAAGCGAATGTGTAAATATGTGTGAGCAGGCACTCTTAATCAAAAGGAGGCGGCTGCTCAGTCCAGAAGACATGAACAAACTCATGTTTTTGAAGTCCAACATGCTTTAAGACTGTCTTTTAATTAAAACAAAACTTTAAAACACTGTTCCAAACAAAGAAAAAGAATTTAAGTTCTAAACACTGTGGACCTCATTATGAATGCCCCTGAAAACCAAGTGCTTTTTTATATATATATAAAAATATAAATATATATAAAATTAAGTTTGAGAGGAAAGCTGAGCACGTGAGAGAGACAGCCCTCTGCCAGGAACGTGCTCCTTTCCATAGATAGTGTGTGGACTTGACAGACTTTCTAATGTTTTCAAGTGGGCAGACCAATGGGAGGCTGATGTTCTAAAGTCTTCAGGCAGCTGAGATCTAAAGTGACTTGAAGTTTCTTTTGTTTCTCCTCCACCCCACCTTTCCTCTTGTCCCCTGGGCCATCTTGCCATGGATAATCAGACTACATTGAACAGAGCAGTTCTGCACTGGACTTTGCTCCTTTGAATAACTGTACACCTTGAGGGCATTTGTCTACAGCCTTCTTGACATACGGTGCACGTTATCAGGGCAGCTGTGTTTTATGAACACCAATATCTTTAGAAATCAGGAAGGGAGACTTTAATTTTTTAATTATTATTTCACTTCTTCATGTAGGGTTTTTCAAAAAAAAAACAAAACACACAAAACCAAAAGTTAGTCTTTTGTCTCCCAGTTTTAACGTGTTAGCTAGCGCTTATAAGTTTGATTTAAAATTAAGAGAAGTAATTCAAGGCAGAATATGTCTGTAATCTTTACATTTCTTGGATTTGCTTTTTCTCACAGCACACCATCTTTTCTGAATTCCCAGTGTAAATTAGCTTCTCGGTGAATTCTGTGCATCAGGGGTTCTCAAGCTTGTTGGTAGAGCAGCCCATTTGTGATTGTATAACGCCCTTATGGGAGCCACAGCAGTTGCTTATATGGAAGAGCCGGAGACCAGGACAGGCGAGCGGTGCCCACGCAGCGTCTGTGGGCTCTGCCATCTGCCATTGAGAACCCTCGTACCTAAAATCTTTGCAAACCTTCCCAGTCCTCACACTCAAAATAGCCTTCACAAGGCCAAGGACAAACCAAGGTGTATGATTTTTCAGGGGAACAAAGATCATCAGTGTTGTCAAAGTAGGGTTTGAAGGAAGCTTAGAGAAGCGCATGGGCTCAAAGATCCTTCTGAATGTAAGTGCTCCTGATTGAGTGCAAAGAATATCTTTCCCTTTTATTTGGAATGGTTTCCTCTAGTAGCACGAATGTCTTTTTTAATACCTACAGTGCATTACACTACTTGTTACGTTGTTTAATTGTTCTGGCTAGGAAGGCTGCGGGCCCTTAAACGTTCACACTCGCTGGCTCACCCCGTATGCAATTAGAGATCATTGTTACACAAAAACATCTCCACTCTGCGTTCACTAAGGCCAGTGCTCTGCTGTGTCCGGTGCCGTGGGTGCAGCACTGCGTGCTGCTGGATGGGATCTCTGCAGGCTGTCGCGTTTGGTGCCTCTTGGACAATTCCTGACTTCTGGTGCCAAATTGTAGATTTCCCATCGCTTGGACTTGCATCCCCAGAGGCCAATTGAAACCAATTCTGATTTTTGAAGCAGGGCCTCCAGCTTCCAGCAGCGTGCTCCAAAGCTGCTGTTGGAGGTGTGGGAGCACAGCTGGGGCTCCCAGTGGGAGGCTGGGGCCCTCGGACAGTGCAGGGCTATCTCTGGTGGCTGAGTGTGGTGGTAGGGCCCATCAAAGGTGGTGGGGCCCTCTGAAGTGCATGCTTGAGACCTTCCCTAGATCAAGGGTGGTGTTTGTACCCGAGTGTCTTGCCCCAGAATGACTTGCTCCTTTTGGCTTGCATCATGCAATACTTACTGTAGCCTGAGCACAGACCTCAGGCTGGCAGCACCTCTCAGCGTTGCAAATGGCCTCAGGGCAAAACCAGTTGTCACCTAAATTGAGTTTTGCATATGGGTAATTTCAAAGGTAGAGTCCACAACCCCACGGGTAGCTGCAGGGTGAGCGGTGCATGAAGGTGAGCAGCCAAGGCAAAGCTACTGGAGGTCCAGTCTCTGGCAGTGGTTTTTGCAGATGGCAGTGCAGGTTGCAGGCCAGCTCAGCTCTTTGCTGGTTGTACTTATTTTCTCCCATACAGCTCCTGCTCGCCCAGCAGCACATCACAAAAGAAGCCTGTAGCAAGCAAAACCCAAGCCTCAGACTGAAACAAACAAAAAATCAGCAGGTAGAGGTGGGAGGTGTGCTAATTATCCAGCATTTGTGCTGCAGGGCCTGCTGAAAAGCAGGAGGAGAATGGGGCTGAAGGACTTGTCAAAAACGGGATGGGCTGCTGAGCCTACAGAGCTCAGCGGAGGGCAGAGCTGAGGCAGGATTTGCAGCTCTTTCTCCAGATGGCATCTTTCACCTTTGCACTTGGTTTGCCTTTGGCTTCAAGAGCCACTCGCAGTCTCTGTGACACCCAGGGCAATGCCTGACATCTCTGTGTTCCTTTGAGACAGAGTTCCAAGCACTTCTTTCCTAAGGGTGAGGGCACCCAGAGCTCCCCTTCCCCTTCCTCTTCTCTTCTTGAGGGTTGGACACAATGATCTCCAGAGGTCGCTTCCAACTCCTACAATTTTCTGATTCTCATACCCTGAGGCAGAGATCTGAAGCTTTCTTGCTGCAGTGACCAAATGCTGGGATCTTCTGGCCCTCCATCCCACTGCCTTCTCCAGGGCACCTTTGGTTATCATTGCACTAATGCAAACATGGATCTGGGCAAGCATGGAGTAATGTCTGGCAGATGAGGTACTCCCAAAGTCTTAAAAACACAACTAGCAGCTAAAAGAGCAAAGCAAAACCAAAAGGCTGTGAAACGGAGCAGTCTGGAGGGTCTTGGTAAGAAAACAAGCTGGCCAGAACCTTTTTCCAGTGTGTCAGCCACAGCTCTTTGTGAGACTTAAGGGATGGGCTCTGCTCAGTGGGGCTGTTGGTGCTGTGCCTGCTCATTGCTTGTGTCTGAAGTACCTCATTGAAAGCATAGAAGCATATCTGGAGCACACCTATGTACTCTGAATGCCAAGTGCTTCTCTTGCTTCTCCTTCCCTCCTTTAGGACTCAGATTTGTATTCTGGGGAGTGTAGATAACTTTACCAAGGTCTGAATTTTGGAAACTCTTCATTCAGCAGGTTATTGGGGTCAGCTCATTGGGAGCTCTGCTTGGAGCAACGCTTGTTTTGTACGGAGTGCTGCCTGTCCTGCAGTGGGTGGCAGCAGGGTAGAGGCTCTCCTGGGATTGGCCATTAAATGTTATGTCAGTGCCATGAAGTTCTGCTTCCTTTGAGCTAGGAAATGTCCTCAGAGTTGGTGCATCAATCTATGGTAGATCATGCTGGGAGTTTTGTCTTCTGCTGGTTTGGTTCTGTTCACTTGCACTCAAGAAGGGTGTTTGGAGGAAAGAACTGGAGTGTGCATCCTCCAGGCATTCTCTTGTTTGTGCTTCTTGCTCTGTGCCTGCAGCTTTCCAACTTAGGGTTTGCTGTGGGGATGGCTGTGATCTGCAGGAGGAACAGGCACCAATAGGGGGGGAAGGGGGGAGGGGGAAGGGGGGGGTGGTGAATGAAGGGGTCCAAAGTTCTCTGCAGAACTGAGGAGCTCAGAAGGGTGTTGTGTGAGGATGGCAGTCAGGTGACGTTGGTCTCCATGTTCATCTCTCCTCATGTCTCAGGCAATAGGCAGCAGTTTTTCTGGCTTGCAGGATGGGCTGCTGTGCTGTATTGCTTCTGGTTCCTTTCAGATGGAAGGAAATGTTTCTTTTACCAAAGTTTTGTCTGTTGTGAGAAAACTGATTTGGTTGGATTTGAACTGGTGCATTCTGCAAGAGATTTTCAGGCTCAGGTTTTGCCCAGCGTGGAGGTCTGTTGGTTGCTGGCTGAAGCAGTCTCACTGAGGTGATGCGTCAGTTTTAGCATCGCTGTGACCTGGTAGCATTGTTTGGCTGTGCGTGGTGCTGCTCTCCCCTACAGACAGAATGTGCCCAGAGGCAGCTCAGGGAGCCACGACCCTGCAGTGAAGTTGGGGCAGACACACTCATAGGAGTTGTGAGTCACTGAAATCAGAGGGGAAACACTTCTGGAGACTGCTGAGCTCGGCATTGAGGTTCCTGTGTTGTTACAGCTTGCAGCAAGACATCTCTGATCAGTTGGTATTCCTCCAAATGCTTGCAGAAACACAAGAGGCATAGTGTGAGAAGAAATTCCTGCATGTGCTGCTGTGGGTGGACCCACTCAGCCCCACACAGAGTGCTGCATGGAAGCAGAATCCCAGACACTCCCTGCTAGGACTAATCAGCACTGCATCTGCAGGTACTGCACTGCATCACCGCGGAGCCGGGAGGTGGCCTAAGAGCAGCCACAAAGCTCCCCAGCAGCTGGGAGCACTGCCTTGTGCCAGGCAGGGCTCAGCATTTCTGCTTATGGGAGGGGAGGGACTCCGAGCTGTCAGAGGAGGTGGGTCATTCCTTGCGGAGTCATTAGGAGTAGTGAGGTGAGAGTGAACAACCAGCAAAGGCACTAAAAGCAGTTTCTGGGAATCGTTTGTTTGTTTAATGGAGGAGAAATCTGCTGCCTGGGAGGAAACTGGCACAGGGATGGGTTTTTATGGATCATGGCCCTGCTGGAAAGGACCTGAGTGTAGTGGTGGATGGCAGCTGGACACGGGCCAACACTGTGCCCTCACAGCCCAGAGAGCCAGCCGTACCCTGGGCTGCATCCAAAGCCACGTGCCAGCAGGGCAGGGAGGGGATCTGCCCCTCTGCTCTGTGCTGTGACACCTCACCTGGAGCACTGCGTCCCGGTGGGGAGTGCTCAGTGCAGGAGAGACACAGAGCTGTTGGAGAGCCACAAAAATGATGGCAGGGATGGAACACCTCCCTGTGAGGACAAGCTGAGAGTTGGGGCTGCGCAGCCTGGAGAAGAGAAAGCTGTGGGGAGAGCTGAGGGCAGCCTATCAGTACCTACAGGGCTGTGAGAAGGGAGGGGACAGACACTTCAGCAGGGGCTGTTATGATAGGAAAAAGGGAAATGGCTTCAAACTAAAGGAGGGGAAATGCAGATTAGATTTAAGGGAGAAATTCTTGACAGTAAGGGCGGTGAGGCACTGCACAGGTTGCACAGAGAGCTGGTGATGCCCCATCCCTGCAAACATCCAAGGTCAGGCTGTTGGAGCTCTGAGCACTGCTGGAGCTGTGGGTGTCCCTGTGCACTGCAGGGAGTGGGACCTGATGGTCTTTGAAAGTCCCTTCCAACTCAATTTTCTGTGGTTCTATGGTTTTGAACCTAACAAGAGCAGAGCCTAGACCAGACGGTTTGGAAGCAGAATGCTCCACATGAAGTGCCACATGGATAGAATTGGGGCTGGGCAAGCATTAGGTGGTGTTCTGTTGTGCGTTTTCTGTGATCTTGAGTCCATGGGATCCTTTGGGAATGCCCAGAACACCTGGGCTGGGACATGGGGTGCTGTCAGATCCCTCAGCAGTCCACATGGTCCAGCGCGTGGTGTGTGTGACCCTGCGCGCAGTGTCCCCTTCCTGGGCCTTTTGGGAGGCGCCACTGGGCAAAGCCACAGCATGGGGAGGAAAAGCCAAGCACAGCCCCAGGCTGCAGACCTCTCTGGTGCTGGGGCAGTTTGCATCCGCTAGGCCAGAAATGGTAAACCAATGAGAGTGCATTGCCCTGAGGTTTAATTTTCTGTATGGAATGTGTGGGGGGGTGTCTGTTTGGCTGTCGGTTGGGTTGTTTTGCTGTTCCTGATAGAGCCTTTTGTTTTATGACCTGGCAGAAGAGTTTGGCTCACGTTGGACAGCAGTGTGTCCCCATAGGGTTTAACGATCTGTAGGCAGCCGAGCTGGAGTGTTTGAGGATAGCTGGGAGGTGAGGCACACCAACATCCTGCCCAGCACCCACTGCTGGTTGAAAGACTCCCTTCCCTCCCGTCATCTCAGTGTCACCAACAGTGTACGCGTGTCCCAGTGCCGCGAGCACCACAGCCTTAAGGACTGAGCATTTGGCAGTGCAGATGAGTGCAGACGTGCCCAACCTTTGCATTTTACAACCAAAGTTCCTCAATAAGACCCTTCTGTTCTCACCAGCCCCGAATGCTCGTGGTCCATCTTCTGGGGCTCTCGTGGCACTCCGGTGGGTGGGTGGGGGCTCCGCCAGGCTGGGCTGGGAGGAGGGATGTTCTTTCTTTCCACGTGTCCCAGCAGGAGAGCTGCTTTCCATGGTCCCTTTACTCTTCCAGGGACCTTTTTTTCTTTATTTTTTATTTGTTAACTAAATTATTTAAAAGGAAAACTGATAGGGACGAAGCAGGCTGCGGGCCCAGAGGGTTCTGCTCTGCGCCGTGGCTGGAGCGTCACGCCGACAGCGCTGCCTTGTGCTGGGCAGAGCAGCTGCCCTCCTGCCCGCCTCGGGTTCTGCAAACTGCTGGGAGCTGCGGTCGTGTGTCACCAAGAAAAAGATCGGTTTTCTCCTTCCCCTCCTCACCCCCTCCCTCGGTAACTCGTGTGCGTTTCCTTTCTGTAGATGCAGATGTTCTAGGCAATACCACAGATGCACCTGCGTGTGTCTCTACCTGCGAGTGCAAGAATCTCATGTCATCTTAAAAAAAAAATACAAAAAAAAAAAAAATACAAAAAATATACAAAAAAAAAAATATCTTTTTTAGGCCAGAGTTTTCTACAGGTATTAATGAATATTTTTCTTAATCCTTATAAGTTTTATGTGTTTAATATTTCTTAATACCGGTAGCATTAATTTATACTTTTGTAGCAACACAATATTTTTATAAACCGCCACCGCTGGCTTTGTCTTCATAACGGGGAAACGTGCGGGCAGCCGGCCCTGCACTGAACCATGTACTGTATTTAAAAGGTTATCTAATGTCACACTTGCTGTGTTAATAAACAAAACAAAACCTGTTTGAAGTCTCATGTATTGTTGGTGTGGATCGAATGACTCAATAGAGAGCAATATTGCACGGGGTTGAGTTGCTGATTTTCATTGTGAAATATGAACGCTTGAGGCCAACTCAAGTTCTTCTGATTTTGTTTTTTGTTTTTTTTTTTAGGATTTTGTTTTCTTTCGTTTTGGTTTGTTTTTTTTTCTTTTTTTTTTTTACAGCTGAATTAATCAGTGCTGTTTGAAACTTAGACTGACGTCAAATGAAAAGGATTATTAAAGAAAAAAAAATCAAGGTGTTTAAATGTTGCTGTTTTTACAAGTCTGTTGCTGTCTGAATGGAAATATTCCCCAAGAGAGGAGTAGTTCCACTTCGCTTCCAAAGGAGCTGAGCGCTCCGGGCAGAGCTCGGTTATTTGGAGACCTCTTAGAGACATGTTCTGCAACATTCTTTTCAGAGTTGATGCCAAGGCAGAAGACAAACTGTAACTGTAAGAAAGCATCCGTTGCTTGAGGATTTTCATGTCAGTGTTGTATTTATGGTTTTACAATAAAACAACCTTTAGGAAAAAAAAGAAGTGTCTGGGATTTTCTATTTCTTCAAGCACGTGTGGGACCTCATTCCGTGCTGAGCGCCTCTGCGAAGAGGAAAAGGAAAACCTGCACTGAGGAGACCAACGTCTCAGCAGCGTCTCTTTGATGCTCCTCTCTGGGGCTCCTTGCTGCTGGACAGGGTGCGCAGTGCTGTGTGTATGGAGGGTCAGAATGCTGCAGGGCACAGAAGTCTGCGTGGAGGCGGTCAGTTGTGATGTGATTCAGGGTTCTCAGATGAGGAAAATGGGGGTCAGGCAGTTCTGGATGGAGCCCCAAGGCGCAGCACAAACAGCACAGAATGCAGGGAATTGTCCCGTATGGAAGTAGTGCATGGGCCGGGGTCAGAGGAGGAAGAGCCCAACCTACAAAAATTAAAGAGCTGCTTGATAGAAAGGTTGTAATTAATCTGTTAATTCAGAACCCAAAGTTGCGGTATGGCAACAGGCCTAACAGCAGGATTGTTCCAGTTAGCATTTGAATGTGAAGATAATAGCAGCAATCAGAATGGAGACTCATAGAGTCGTTTCAGTTGGAAGGGACCACTTAAGGCCATCTGATCCAACTCCCTGCAACAAACAGGGGCACCCACAGCTCCACTGGGTGCTCAGAGCCCCTCCAGCATGACCCTGAGTGTAACAGTAAGAACGGCTGTAGCTTTGCAGTACATTAGGTATAAATGAACAATTTTAGGAAACAATAAGCTTAGATGCTCTTGCATCTTGTGAGTTTGGATTTGTTTGGAAATCGGCATGACAGAGCGCTGGAACTGGCTGCCCAGAGAGGTGTGGAGTCTCCTTCCATGGAGATTCTCAAGATCTGCCTGATGTCCACCTGTGTGACCTGCTGGCAGGGGGTTGGGCAGGGGGTTGGTTGATAGTCTCTGGAGGTCCCTTCCAATCCCTGCAGTTCTGTGATTTTTGAAGAGGTAAATGTAAAGCCAGAAGGCAGAGCAGGCTGGAGAGCTGTGCTCCTCGGCTTGCTGGTGGCTTCCAGCACTGAGTTGTCCTTTTTCGTTGGACCCTTTGGAAAGGATAAATAAAAGTGCAAATGGAAACGTAAGAGGCTTTAGCTGTTCTGCCTTATTTCCCTATTCTCTAGTTTCTGCTGTACCAGGAAAGAACTATTTTAGTCACTGTAAAGAAAGAACTCAGAGTTCAGGTTCTGTTGGTGGGATCCCATCATTTTCTTTAATGTCAGAGCTGACAAACCCAACAAAGCTGATTGAACTCACCCTCTCCACTCCCATCTTCAACACCTTGCTTTTTTTGGAGTTTTGCTCATCCTGAGATCCTCTGTGTGGGAGCAACGTGAGGAATGGAGACCAACAGCCCGGGTGTGTGGCACAAGCAACCCAGCCATGTGCTGTGCACGTGTCCACATGAAGGTGAGCAGAGACCCTCCAGCCCTGTAATGTCCCTTAGGCCTCTCAGCGTCCCCATCTCCCACCCCCCCATCCATGCCAGAGGCCAAGGGGTTCCCACAGCCCCCATGCAAGGACACACAAACAGGGAAGTGGCTGCATGTGTGAGCCCCAGCTGAGAACCAGCGTGTCCTTGGTGTGTGCCGTGGGTGAGAAATGACACACAGTGAACACGGGGTCAGATTTTTAAAGAATTTAATAGCAAAATCAGTCAGTGCAAGAGCGTGGTACGAAGGGCAAAGGCACCGCCTGCACAGTGTTAGCTGCTAGCCAAGTGGGCAGTGGGCTGCTCCTGGTCTGTGGGCTACTGGTAAAGGAGGAACCAGAAACCTCAGCACAGTGCAGAGTTCTGAAGGCACAAAGAATTGCACAGCATATGAGCAAAACAGCCACCAACTTGGAAAGGCGCTCACACTGGGCGAGGGCTCTTGCTGGATTGTGGCACTGAGTAGCTGCCAGAATCCGGCAGGCTCTTTCTATAGAGAATACATCTATCTCTATGCTGTGCAGCAAGGCAGAATTTAACCCTTTATATAAAACACATAGGCATAAAGCAAAAGGGAGTGTAGATCAGTTTCAGCCAGATTTGCAGCCTGGTTTCCATGAAGCCAATAGGCTTCATTTCTGATCACTGTGACAGTGACATCTGTGATCTTGCCATGAATAACAGATTTTTACAGCCAACTGTGCATCCATGGCATTGCTGGCATGCAGGGGTTTCCAAAGCACGTCCTTGACCTGCAGAGGTGTTCACAACGTGAATCACTCATTGGGACAGTCCCCCTGCTGCCTGAATGGGGAGATCCCTCCTGCAGAGCTCAGTGGGACCAAGGAAGCCCACCCAAGGAGCATGGTGGGCTGCTGAAACCCTGCTGCTCTGCTCTGCCTCTGTCAGAGGAAGGGAGGATGGCAGACGCCTGCCGGCTTTGCAGTCACACCTCTGGGGCCACACAAACGTTGGCCAAGGCTTCCCCAGGGTGCTGGAACCCGCCCAAGGTGAGGAGATGGGTACAGAAGCAGCAGCAAGCACAGCTGGGAAACGTGGTGCAAGAAGGGGGTCACACGGAAAGCATTTTCCCTACCCAGAGAGAGGCACGAAGAGGCAGTTTTGTCAGTCTTAATTTTGTGCTCCGCTCACAGATGACAGCAGAGGTACAACAGCAAGCATGGAATGCCATCAGGGCTTCGGTGCCTTGAGCACAGTGGGTGCACAGAGGAGTGCCGGGGCTCCTTGTGCCCACACGACACTCCTTGTTCTGCTCAGTGCTCTGCAGGGCACCGCAGCCCTCACCAGTCCAGGTCCCCTTTGGGCACTGACGGCCGCGTGCTCCTCTCGCTGTAGAACTGTGCAAACCAGCGCCGGTGCTTCTGGATGCCAGCATCCTCGCAGACCAGCAGTGGCTTGGACAGGTACTGCTTGTTGTTCCAGATGGTCACATCTCGCTCAAACTGCAAGGAGAAAGCAGAACCTGCAGCCTCATGCATGCTGCCCACACAGCAGGATTAGTGGTTGTGTTCCTCCTGAATGGCTGTGGGAGTGCTCTGACTTTTTTAAATGGCAAGAATTAAGAAATCACAGTTGTTCAGCGCATTGCAGCTCCCAAGCAGGAAATCACTTCCAGCTCAGAGTGCCTCTGCCACTGGAACAGAAGTGGACATTGTGAAGGCAGGAGCTGATCCACCTGAGGCTGTTGATTCGTGGGATGCCTCCAGCAATCAGGCGTCATAGAATCATAGAGTTGCTCAGGTTGGAAAAGACCTTAAAGATCATCAAATCCAAGCACGACCTAACCATACTGCCCTAACAACCCTGCACTAAATCGTGTCCCTGAGCACCACATCTAAACAGTTTTTAAATGCATCCAGGGATGGTGACTCAACCACCTCCCTAGGGAGCCTATTCCACTGCTTGGAATCATCGTACATTAAGCACCCCTGTCTTAAATTCCACTCAGGCACACGTGCAGTGAGATTTATGGAGTTTGGTGTTGTTTATATTTTTTGCAAAGGAGTCTGCAGAAATAAGTGCTGCTCATCTGTATTTGTAAGATATATTAAGCCAACATTTAAACAATATGAGCTAGCACAGCTAAGTTTGGTTTGGGATAGGGTCTTGGCATTGTAAAGCCATCTTTTGACATTGAGAAGGTCAAAATGGACATTAAAAACAAAAATCAACAGTGTGAGTGGAGCAATAATGGAAGGGGTCACCTACAGAGCTGGATGGGAGCAGCCTTCCAAGGAGCTTCCAAGGCTCACCCAGACAAGTCATGAACTGGGCCGTAGTCTGGCCCCAGCTGGAGCAGAGACCTCTAGAAGGGTCTTTCCTCCACTGCTGTGAGTCCCGTCTGAAGGGACTTCTCTATCAGGAGGAGCCAAACCTCATGGTAGTTTAACAGTGGGAGTATTTTGTGGCAAGGTCCTAAAGCACCATCCTGGGATGCTGGAGATCTGGATGCAGCCATTAGTCCTCCTAAAAACTCCTTGCAATCTGGGAGAGGTCACCTAACCCTTATGCCCCAGTTTCCCATCTGCAGGACAGGGACAGCATCTCACTGCCACCCTCAGCAGATGAGGGAATCCTCATGACTAAACCTTGGGCTTCCTTCTTTGGGCTCCTAGATCTGAAAGATTGTGTCCAAGAATGCTCAGCTCCCAAATATATGAGCCCTCAGGGGCAGCTGCTCCACACAGCATCCCACACTGCAGGACACCACCTCCTCAGAGCCCCACCTGAATGCATTCTGCCCTCAGGATGAACTTGGGGATGATGGCTGGCACGTTCTTCTGGTAATAGATTTTGTGGACCACATTCTGCAGGAGAGGCTCCAGGGGCGTCACTGTCTGCAGGATGATCCCATGGCCCAGGAACGCATGTTTGAAGATGAGGAAGACCAGCCCTGGCCCAACCTGCAGAGAACAGAGCACCCTGAGGGATGGAGCCCCTTGGTCCTGCCTGGAACCTCATCCTCTGGGCCAAACAAAGGCGTCTGTCAGCTCAGGGGGTGATGGCCCTCCCCACACGAGGCTCTGTGGGGCACAGGACGCACCTGCCTGGCTGACACCGACAGGTCCAGCAAGGGGAAGCTCTTCCCAAAGATGGTGGCTGTGTGCTGGAGCTGCATGCGGGAGCAGTGCTGGTGGGGCTCCGGCTCTGGCTGCCACTCAGCCTGAAGGAGAGGTAGCAGTGAGATGGGTCTGAGAAGGGCAGAGCACGAGGAGAGGGAAGGCTCAGAGATACAGAAGAGACGCGACCTGAAGAGAGGGGACGTGGCAGGAATCAGGAAGAGAGGCAGAAAACGGATCTGGCCTGGGGGGCTTTGAACAGTGCCACAAGGGGAGCCGGGGCGCTACCTTCCAGACGTGCTTCATGAAGTCCCACAGCCTGGACTTGGTGTATCTCAGGTCGGATCCGCTCAGAATGGCTGGGCCATGCAGGAAGGCCAGGTGAGCTGTGTCAGCTGCGTTCTCAGGGATTTCCTGCATGGGGGACAATTCATGTCAAGGGCTGAATTCTTAGGATCATAGAATCAGAGCTCACCAAGTCCAACCATCTTCCCACCTCCACCAGCACCTCCCACTGACCGTGTCCCCCAAGCACCATACCCTGGAGCACCCCCAGGGATGGTGAACCCACCACTCCCTGGCAGCCCATGCCAATACACTGCCACTCTTTCTGACAAGAAATGTTTTCTAATGCCCATCCCAAACGTTTTGAGGTTTAACTGCTTTACTGCTTAAGTCCACCAGCGTCCCACCCAGATGGCACACAGCGTGGACTGACCCCAGCACAGCTCTGCTCATGCCACTCCCTCCTCCAGCCTCCACAGCTCCACCAAGAGATGACAGAAGCAGCATTTCGTTCCGCTTGCCAGCAAATGAACATGGTTATGAAGATTAACAGCAAAATAACCACACATTTTCCCATTCTGTGATCAATGAGTTGGGGAGCCCGCTGACACTGAGTGCTGCAATTCTTGGATAATCTTTTTTTAAATTACATCGGTTATAAGTCAAAGCAAATGAACAGATTCCCTTTAAGCACCCAGCACATCTGCTCCCTCTCAAGCAGCCTGTGGTTCACGTCTGGGGAACATCTGCTACGCTTGGCACATGGCACAGGGATGCATTTCCAGGGCCACGCGCCGTGTGGCCCCACTGGGTTCAGTGGAGGAGGTGTCTGGGGATGGGTGAGCACTGAAGGAAGGGGCCCCAGCCCTGCCATGCTCCCACCTGGATGTGTGCGTCCACGAAATGCTCTGTCTGCCCCCGGAACACCCAGTCCCCTGTGATGATCTCAGGCTGCTCAGGCACATCCCAAGTGGGGCCGGTCCCATCGCAGTGGTACCAGAGCAGCAGCATCCCATTCACCTCACAGCACGGCCAGCTCCGCACCTTGGCAAAATCCGGCACTGAGGAAAAGAAAAGGATTGGATAAAAGTGGCGTTTCCAGCATGCTCAGTGTCACTTCACCCCGGGCGACAGCTCAGAGCTTGGGCAGCATTAGCTTGGCACAAGCTCTCCCTGCTGCCATTTGCCACCCCTCCAGCTGCTGAAGGAGAAAAGCAGCTCCTGAAGTTTGCTTTGTTTGCTTTAATGTCATTTCAGTGTGCATGAGTCCCTCCAGGAGTGGCAAGCCCTGCAGCCTGCTCTCACTGCTCAGAACCATGCACAATGCACACGTCCAATGAACCCACTTCCAGTTCCATTGGGCTACAAGCAATGGCTTCAGCTGTAGATGGGCAGGAAGCAAAGCCAGCTGTCACTCCTGAGCTCGAGTCATCCTGCTTTGGTACAGCAGTGCCATGGGTTACATTTGGAATAGGCCTCCACTCTTTCCAGCCTTCCCAGTGAAATTGATTTGGGTGTTTATGTGTAACTGACTGTCAGAAAACTTTTCTTCTACTCAATGGGCAGCTTTCACTTTCATTACATATTTTTTTCTAGCTGGCAAACAAGCCCAGAGGACATACTTTCCTTATTACTTAGGTTTGCACATCCACCCGGGAGGCTGAAGGATGCAAGAAATTAGGTTTTGATTTCCTAGAACCATAGAATGGTTTTGGTTGGAAGGGACCTAAAAAGATCATGTTCCAAACCAATGACTGACAGAGGGGGCTGGACAAGATGACAGGTGCAACGTAGGGTTGCAAAACCCATCTTTTTGGTGGGATCCATTGCATTGGAGGAGATTCCTCACCCCATGCACATACTGGGTGCACTGTGAGCCCAGTGCCAAAGGGGCTGTGCACCAAAATCCCCCACCATGCCCTCCATGCACACAGATGGCTCCTTAATCTCTTTATATCAACCTGACCCACTTGGGAGCAGCGCAGCTGTGTGCAGTTCTGTTCCACCAGTAACCATGGCTGTGAACAGAGCAATCGCACAGGAACAATGCATTTTGGCAAGAGTTTGTCCATGGCCAGAATACTCGTTCTCATTTTGCAACGAGGCACATCTTTCTTCATTACTTGGAATCAAATTTTCATTCAAATGCAGCTCCTGAGTGTGTGCATATGCAAAAATGAATGCCGTATTAACCTGCGTGGTGCAATCCATAAACTGCTCATCTCATCTCATATGGATGGAACGATTTCTCCACTTTGGGAAAAAAAAAAAAGTCTGTTTAGTAGAGTTTTGCTGTTAATTAATGTTATCATCACTATCTGAATCATCTCCAAATTGAGCTTCTCTGGAAAATAATTAGGAAGAACAATCCAGAGGAGAGCTCAAGGTAAATTCTCTCCATGTTTTCAGCCATGTTTAGAATCAGTGCAAGCCCACAAGTAATTATTACAGGGGAAGTTAAGGATTTCTCTCTGCATGGTTGCCACAAACCGTATCGAAGGATGGGAGTGAAAGCCTTAGGAAAAAAAAAAGGGTCACATAGAGATTATTTTATCTGTTATTTAAGCGTTGAATTGGTATCAACCATCACTGTGGAGTGCAGATTAATTTCTGAAACCCAGTGGGTGAAAGTCCCGGGTGTGATTTAGCACGTGACAGGCCATCCATCAGAATGCTGTGTCCCAGGGAAGTTGGTGAGTCGGTGTGCTGCAGGAAATGAGGGAGCAGCGTGGGGGTGAGCTCTGACTGCTTTTCCTTTGCTAATCGGATTTTTAGGCACTGCCATCGCTCCGGCTGCTCTCTGGGGGAGGTTCACCTTTTCCAGAATATGGGATGTGGGTGCATTTCCCATCTTCTCCTCTGAAACGCCAGCCGTGGAAGGGGCACTCGATGCAGCTGCCCACGACGCGCCCGCCAGCAGCCAGGTCAGCCCCCAGGTGTGGGCAGTACGAATCCACCACGTGCGCCTGGCCATCCTGCGTGCGGAACGCGGCCAGCCGTTCTCCTGTGGGAACAGGAGGTCATGAGAGCATCTGCAAAAACGGAGTGAGGGGTGGGGATGGAGGGGTGGCTCAGCCCCATCTGAGTGGGCAGCAGGAAGAATCACGGGATCATTAAGGTTGGAAAGGGCCACTAAGATGATGAAGTCCAACTGCCAGCACGCCCCCTCCATGCCACTGACCGTGTCCACAAGTGCCACATTTCCATGGTCCTTGAACACCTCCAGAGGTGGTGACTCCACCGCTCTCCGGGCAGCCTGTGCCAATGCATTACCACTCTTTATGAGAATGTTTCCTAATACTCAAGCTGAACCTCCCATGGCACAACATGAGGTCATCATCTCGTCCCATCGCTGTTACCTGGGAGCAGACACCAACTCCACCTTACCACAACCTTTCAGCAGTTGCAGAGCACTGCCATCTCCCCTGAGCTCCCCTTCCCCACACTGACCCATCACACCTGTGCTCCAGACCCCTCACAGCTCCATCCCATCTCTGGACACGCTGCAGGGCCTCCGTGTCTGCAGTGCAGTGAGGGCCCAGCACCGAGCACAGCACTGAGCTGCGGCCCCACCACTGCCGTGCAGAGGGACGATGCCCTCCTGCTCCTGCTGGCTGCACTGCAGCTGACACAAGGCAGGCTGCCGTGGGCCTTCTTGGCCACCTGGGCACACTGCTGGCTCGTGTTCATTAACAGATTAATTACAACACCTCCAGGTCCGTTTCCTCTATTCAGTCTTCCAACCACTCTGCCCCAGTCCTGTAGCGCTGCACGGGGTTGTGGTGCCCAAAGCGCAGCACCCGGCACTCGCTCTCGAAGCTCAGCCCGTGGATCCGCCTGCCCACATCTCACCGCCAGGTGGCAGCCCGCACCCGGCTCCCGCATCCCCCGCTCCGTCCGCACGGCCCCGCGCCGCTCCCCAGCATCCCTCGGCCGTACCCTGGTTATCGGGTGTTGCTCATCCAGGTGCAGACAGCGAGCTGAAGCCCAGGGAGCTCCGCGGTCCCTGTCGTGTTACGCGTGTTAACCCATCACTTGTGAAAGCCTTGTTACAGATGCTGTGACTTGGAGCTCACACAGAAGGAAATGAGACAAAACTGGAGATCAAAACCCAACTGAGCTGCAGGATCCAAGTTCTGTCTGTGTTTACCCAGAAAGCTGTGTTTGATGACAGGTGACAGGCAGTGAGCTATTATCACAAAGCTGCTTCTCTTTGTCTCGTGGTCTGGGCAAAGAAAACTCCCAACCTTCAAAGCTGGGAAGGATTCTCTGCTATCTGGCAGAACAATGTGGTGCCTCCCATCCCAGCATTGCTGGGCACTGGAAAGCAATGGTGGCTGTGCTGGCAGCAGGCACAAGGAGGGGAGGTGCTCAGGGTGCGGGTCCTTCCCCTGCCCCGGGTCACAGGCAGCCCTTTTCCTAGCACCAGCTCTCCTCTTTGCCTGTCTGAGTCTCAGAGGAAATGGGGCAAGCAGGGAGAGGTTTCAGCCCATGCAGCCGTGTTTTGGGACGTGCTCGGTCCCCAAGGCTGGCTCTTAAAAGGACCAAGTCAAAAGATTCTCTTTCTTCCTACTCTCTTGCTCACTTGTTTTGGAGTAGGGCCACATTTCCAGGCTGTGCTCAGAGACGCTCTCCAAAGCAATTAAACATTCACAAACCTGGGAGCTATGGGCTGTTTAATTCCCTTAATTACTGGTAGTCCTCTTGGCAGCGCTATCCTGCCATCATGCTGCAACGTGATGATACATGTAATTTATCCAGACCAGGTGGAAAGGGTGCCA